TTACAAATCTAAGAAAAATAGTCATAAATAATAAATATAAAACACATCAGAAAGAACACAAGCAGACTTAACAATTTCTACATTAAATCATAATAGGATCTAAAAATAAAAATACAAAAAAATAATATCAGTAACAGCTACAACCCCACTTGAACAAAAGCTTCTAAAGAATTATGTATATACATGTATTAAATAAATAAATAAATAATGGTTCTGATTAACTGCAGAAAAGCTTGTTTTGTGAACCTCCCAGCAATTTTGAGACACCAGCACTGAAAGACAATACCCTGGGCAGGGAGTTCCAGGGGCCGAGCAACATCCCTGCCACTTCTGGGGAACAGAAGAGACGAGTGGAATGTGCTAGACCCAGTGCCAAGCTCTGACAGCCAGTGTGGTGTAGTGGTTAAGAGCGGTAGATTCGTAATCTGGGGAACTGGGTTCGCGTCTCCGCTCCTCCACATGCAGCTGCTGGGTGACCTTGGGCCAGTCACACTTCTTTGAAGTCTCTCAGCGCCCCACTCACCTCACAGAGTGTTTGTTGTGGGGGAGGAAGGGAAAGGAGATTGTTAGCCGCTTTGAAACTCCTGAAGGGGAGTGAAAGGCGGGATATCAAATCCAAACTCCTCCTCCTCCTCTTCTTCTTCTTCTTCTTCTTCTTCTTCTTCTTCTTCTTCTGTGCAGTTCAGACAGTGGAACATCAATTACATCTGAGGGGAGAACCTTTTGCCCACCTTGCATTGAGCCACATAGAATAATGTCATTAAAATATGGCAGCCAGGGCTGGGTCTTTCCAGAGAATAATCTGGGAACCGTGCCAGGGACACAATTAGGGCCCTGTATGAAGCATGGGGCTTCATAAAAGAGATTGCCAAGCCACATCAGCTAGAGCACTGTAAGATGACCACACCGGGTGCCAGTGCTCCCTATGTAATCAATAAACCCCTATGCAATTAATAAAATATTTCCATATAGCATTAAATATTATGGTGTTCTAATCTGAGCAGACAGTGTAGGGGGACCTTAGATAGCTACTGCAAGTAGAAATACACACAGCATCTACAGTATTAAAAAGCTTTGGCTGCAAGTTTTTAATCTATCAAATTCAGCTGCATTATAAAGCATGTGTTCATGAGGTCTGGCTAGTGGAACCCCGCTGGGAGTGGTGGGCGCTAACGAGAACTGCAACAAGTGATTAAAACTTCCATCTCTGAAAATGAACACAACATCCTTATTATAACTCAAGCTCTCATGCCTGATCAGGCTAGAACATAAAGCAAAACAAGCGTATGAAGCGGGAGGAAATCAAAGAAAAAAAGAATAACTCACATTAATGAGCATAGTTACATCTGGGAGCATTGCAGCTGCAACTTAATTCTCTATCTTTGTGTAACAGAAATGAAATCATGAGAGTGGGCACTTTTGTTGCAAGGAGGAATGGAATCCCATTTGTTCTCAAAGGCCATCTATTTCTCGTGTGTGTGTGTTTACAATTTTTCAACTTTGAAGAAAAACAAACACACACATGACATTATGTTATCATGGGTTTGAGGAGCTTTGTTCAGCATTTGTACAGCATGGAATAATTTAAAAGCGTTAATCTCTGAGCATTGCCCCTGGGCGTTCACCGACCCTGCTCAAGAACAATGGGGCTATTGTTTGAGAAGGCTGTTGCCCATGCCAGGGTTCAGATGAACTTTCCTCCTCCTCCTCCTCCTCCTCAGCTGGCCATTGGGCCCACATGGCAGCTGCGAAATGAACACATGCAATTAGGTGGCACCTGCTGGACTGAGCACAACCAACACACTCGTTTCTAGTCAATGATTCTTAGCCACGAAAGGGCAACCACCAGAAGGTTTAAAAAAGAAAGGGGGAGGGTGGGTCAGGTGAATCCTCTAGAACAGCCAGAGCACAATGCTGTATTTTAAAACCCGGATAGACAAAGACAGGAAGCTAACTGACTTCAACTCCCAGAACCCAGTTACTGGATGGGAGCCTGGCCAGGATCTCCTGACTAGTGCTTTTGTTATGCTGCCTCATACTGAGTCAGACCAATGGTCCATCTTAGCTTGGTATTGTTTACAGCAGCCAACCTGGTGCCTTCCAGAAGTTTGGGACTACAACTCCCATTACCTCAAGACAGCAAAAGAAGGAGGGAATGAAAGAGAAGGTGCGTTTGTGGATGATGATTTGGGTAGATGGGAGCGCAACTGGGCAGGAACATTTCCCCCAGCCTTCACAATGAAACTCCAAATCAATACACAGATAGCCTTCAGTTGTGTTCTCTCCAAACTGGAGGGTTTGTGGGGCTGGTATTAAATACTAAAAGTAAAACAAGCAACATTACAGAAGGGTAATGCACCCTTTGTGTACAGACAAGGAACTTCCTGTACACATTGGCTAGTAAAAGCCAGGTTGAAAAATCAGGTCCAATATGGATAAAATCTGATCAAATAACATAACAATACAACATAAGCCTGGTGGATCAATTTGCTTCTCTCAAATCTGGCTCTTCTATTCTTCCTTAGAATTTCTGCACACGTTTCTGCACATTTGGTGGCATACGCAATTTTCGTTGAGTACAAAGGGGTGGGATATTAAAATATAAAAAGTGAGCAGGATTCTGGGTGGGAGGCTGAGGGCCAATACCAACAGCATAAAATGAGTTTAACAGAACCCAAAAGGATGGTTCCAGAGCTTAGATTCAGGAAATATGAATATTCTTGTTTCACAGCTTCTAAAAAGGTAGCAGATGTATGTATAAGAAATAGCTGCATCTTGAGGCAGCGGAACACACCATCCCATCACCAAATGCACTTCAGTCTCTGAGTAATTTCAGCCTGGGATGCCCAGCAGCTTAGCTTTTTAAAAGTTTTTGTAATTTTATTTTCAGATATTAAAATGCAGTAATCGAATACAACAATAGAAAGCATAAAGCACTTTAGGAAGCAGAAAAGTGGTTTGAAAGTAAGTTCCATGTAGCTTTTTAACAAGTATGCAGAAGGCCAGAATCCCAGCTCCAAGCACAACATCATCAGGAGCAGAGTTTGGTAATCTGTGGTAGTCTGGTGTTCTGCATGAGGCCAGAATTTGCCTTCTCTCAATCTTCTCAATTCTGCACCCCCTCGGTTCAGTGCCTTGTGCGGCAGAACTGCACCACCACCATGAATCTGGTGCTGTCCATTACTGAATGGAGTCCCCCCAGAGTGGCCCATGTGACCAACGTGGTATTCTCTCCTGAATTGGCACACTGTTGTACAGGGCCGTCTTAAGCATATCCGGTGCCGTGGTGCAAATATCTTTATGGCCTGCCCCCCGTTTCCTAGAGTTGTCAACCTTTTTTAAGTGTGTGTGTGGGGGTGAGCCTTCGGTCTGGCTTGTTTACATTGCGTGGTCCGATGCGCGCTCGGCGTTGCACGTAAGTAAGAGGCGCCTGGATCACAGCCCAGATGGCCTCCTGCGAAGCCTCCCTCTAAGTGCTAGGTGACCCTTACTTGCCCCCATCTGGGGAAGTCTGCGTCACAGGAGGGCCAGCAAGCAGATGAGGTGGCTTGTCGACTGTGCCATCCTTGCTTGGTGCCAGGATCGCACAGGGTGCTTCCCTGCTCCATTCACAGACTCCGCAGGGAGGCGCACAGGCAGCGACACGGCCAGAGAGGGGCACCCTGCGCCTGCCCCCAATCGCGCCCATCAGGCACCCAGGCAGCCCTGGTGGGAGGGGACACAAAGGGGCTTCCCTGAGCTGGACGCAGTGCACTCCAATGGGTGGCTGAGAGGTGAGGAGCAGGTTGCCCCAGAGCGGGGAATGACTTTCCTTACCAGACACTGGCGCCCTGGTGCCCTGCGCCACTAACGTCTATGGGTAAGACGCCCATGTTGTTGTAGAAGGAACCTATACAGTTGAGCATGTGTCCATTTCTGTGCGACCTTTAGCTTTTCTAAGATGACATTTGAGTGCATTGGCCAGAAAGATTGTCTACAACAAGCCACACACTGTATTCAGGGAGCTGCCTTCTAGAGTATGCAATCTGTGTGCAATTTCTAATTATGCTTCCATCACAAAAAACAAGGGTTTGCCCACACTCCCATTTCTCCCACACCTAGGAAGTATGGGTCTAGGCCATTTTGCCTTTGCCACAACACTTTCCCCAAGAAAGCCCACTTTGGGGCTAAATCAGGGGCCCACTGCTTATTTTTAGAGTTATGGCTGAATTTTGTTTAAAGTGATATCTGAGACAAATCTAAAGGGTGAAACATCTAGACTTTTCATCAAAACAGTATGTGCTCGCCTAATTGTGACATTGGTCACAAGAATACGCAGCCATCCAGCTTGGCGCTTGGCAGTTGCTGACAGTGACAGATTGCAGAGCTCTTTACATTAAAGTAATGGCAGTTTGCTGATGATGACCGAAGTCACCAGCAAGTTGCCTTTTTGAAAAGGATTAAAGTGTGGAACTGCAGTTAACTGAAAACACATTGTTTGTGCCTGTTCTGTTCCACCAACATTTGCAGTGGGTTCATTTGTTTTTCACAACTCTATGAAACATTCCTGGGTTGGCATTACTAGCGTCACCTTTGTATTTCAAGCACTGGGCCCAAGGTGCCTGAGAGAATTCCAGGCTTGTTAAATTGCCCTTCCCTAGTAAACACTTTACTGTATTGTGCCCTCAAGTTGTGAAGGCTCTGCAGAAGGAATGTGCCTGAAAACAAATAAGAGGTTAATGACCGCAGCACAAGTTACTTACATCATTAGTCACTTTGCGCATGACAGCATGTGCACACACAAGAAAGCTTTTCAACTGCACATGTACTGTTTTGCCAGAGGAAAAGGCAACCTCTTTCTGCAAGGAGATATTTTGTCTTGCATAAGAGAAGCCTAAGAGTAATCTTGAATTTCTTGCCTTCTGTTGGGTCATACAGGGAGGGGGGGATGCATTAGCCCACAGAGAAGTGCAAATGTGGATCTTTTTATTTTGATTGGCTAATCCCAAGCCAATCAGCTCCTTCCTTTCGTTTAACTTGCTCTTATGCTCTGTCCAAACTCAAGTTCACAGCCACATTGCTCGCTCTGCATTGCTGCTGCTCTGTTCTCTCCGCTGGCTCTCGGGCGGCTGCAGCAGGAGCAGCTGCTTCAGCAGCAGCTGAAGTCTCAGCTTGCTGCTAACCTGATCAGCTCAGGATACAGCTTCTATGTGACATCACGGCCAGATGTTTGGCAAAGCCACACCCCTATGAGGGTCTGAAGCAATCCAAGGAGTAATAACGGACCAGCTCAGTCCTGCCGTCAGAATGCACCCGGGAGACTGGAGGAACTGCAGGCTTGTTATTGTGGACAACCTTCATTAATTTTGTTTCAGACAAAAAGCTGTTCCGGACGGGGTTTGTTTTGCTTGGTGTTTTCCCTGGATGCCTTTCCTATTCAGAAGGAGAGAAACTGGGTGTGACCCATACAAAGAAAGTACTTTTCAGGGAGCTGTGGAGCCAGCTATCTCATTTTCTACAAAAAGGAACTCTCCGGGAGTGTGTATGTGGGTTTCTTGAAGGTTAACACAAAAGGAAAAATTGCAGTTGATTTATACACCTCAGGAGGCGTGAAAAATGGCAACAGCCGCCTACTTTGCTGCCGAGTGCCTTGTCTCCATGTCCAGCCGTGCTGTAATCCACAGCCCCGTGAGGGAACCGGCCCCTCAGCCGGTTGGGAGAGCTGCCCCCCGCATCATCTCAAACAGAGCTGAGAAACCCGAAGTGAAAGAGGTTGGGAGAGACAATGGAGGTGGGTCCTCAGTGTATGCTGTGGCCAGCATTTTAGCTGACCTAAACCAGCATGTTCCACCAAAGCTTTCCCCGCCTCAGGGGGAGAATCTTGAGAGCGTTGACAGAGGGGGGGCTTCTCTTTCCCACAAAGAGTTTGGGGAAGAAAGTGTCTTGCTGGCCGGCAAACGTGGAGGAGGCAGAGCAACCACACCTACCAGCTTGGGGGCACCGAGTCAGCCAAGCCCCAGGCAAAGAAGCAGGCGAGGAAGATGTCGGACTGAGCCTGAATTACCTCAGAAGAAGCATAAATGCCACTATGCGGGATGCGAAAAGGTTTACGGCAAGTCGTCCCATCTGAAGGCTCACCTAAGGACCCACACAGGTAAGTGACTGGCTGGTCTATTTCCAATAGCTTTGTTGGGAGGAGAGGGAAGAGAAATTGGCTGATGTTCAGGCTCCCAGGACTGAAGTCTGGGACAAGTTAATGAGAAAAACGGTAAACCTAAAAACTTACAGTGCAGCTCTTGTTGCTTCTGTAACAGGTAGTTCAGCCAAGCCTGTCCTTAATGAACACAGAAGTGTAACTGTGACCTGCTGCCCTCCTTTCTTCACTATCTCTGCTCCCTCCTGCTCCCTCCTTAACCCATGCCCTATTTCCAGGCATTGTTTCAGTTTCCTCCACTTATAGCCAGCAGAACAGCCCCTTCTAGGAAAAGGAGCATGTGGGTGTTGTTGCTATTTGGTTGTTTGTTTTGCAGTGATGTGGAGACGTGGGGTATTTTGGTGCTCTCTATATTGTAAGTACTGTCTTTCGGTACTGTCTACATTTCTATGGTTTCTGTGCAGCGAACCTTCTGGTATCGCAAGCTATACTGAGACCCAATCTGTTAAAAGGTGGCCTAGAAATTAAAAGAATGAAAAGGAGAGAGGGACACATTGATCAGAATCCATAACGGGGCACCCAAGAGCAACCAACACAGAGAGTAGAGTGGTTAGTGCTTAAAGCAAAGTGTACCTTGGTGTTTCACAGAACAAAAACTGTCAATAATAGTCTCAAAAATATAGTCACCTCTTTTCTTCTACAAATTTTCACAAGGAGGGGGAAAATCATCTTGGCAATACATTGGCCACAATGAGTAAAACTTTAATGCTACAAAGAATTATGTGCCTGGCCTCCTTTTCAACACCAACCATGGCTGGGGCTTATTGTTTCCACTTTTGCTCTTATCAAGGGAGCCGCACGTCAGAGTGCAAGGAAGTCAATGGCAACAGCCAGCCATTTCTGGGTCCCCCACCTGCTCTCCTTATTTAAGAGTTGGCACTGCTTTTCAGTTCATATGACCAGTGGCTGCTGGTTACACACTTGTAGTTGTGCGGGTTAATGATTTTGCAGAATACAATGACGACCCAAGGCAGTTTGGTGCCTCCCACAACATGGAGCACAACCCACCAGGAAGTTCTTCCATGAAAGACCCTTCAAAATGGTCAGGAACTGTGCAAGCACAGCCATGGCCTGCCATAGGAACTCCCTTTAATTTCAAGCGGCTGGGAGAACTTCCTGGTGGGTTATACTCCATGGGCTGGATCTGCCCGCCTCTCATTCTGCCACCTGTAACCACACCCAAGCTGCAGCTGGAGGCGAGGTGAGCTGCTGCCTCACTGTTGAGCTGCTTCTGACGCGCCCTTCCTCCCATTTTGTAGTAACCTCTGGAATAACCAACAAACCAGGGCTTTGCTTGGTAAAGGCATTAAAAACATGCTTTCCAAAGAACAAGTAACACCACCCTCCATACTCCTCTAAAAGCAACAGGGCACCTCAGTCCTAAATGCTTGCTTTAGAATTAAGTCCCCTTTATTTGAAAGGGTATTTCTTCCAAGTTTGCATCCTTTGAGTTGCCTCTCCTGACACCCTCCCTTACGGGAGCTTTCATGTTTAATGAATAATAGCTATCCTCTCTGTTGCTACTCAAAGTTGGCAAATTGTAGATGAATCACGCCACACTCTGCTCTTGCCCAAACTTTTCCTTCGCTTCCTTTAAACATGGAGACAAAGGGATTCTAAGCTTGTAAACTGACTGGAAACCGAAGCAGAGGATGCTGCTGGGAAAACTCCTCTCTTTGATACGGAGAAGGAGGGCTTGGCAGCTCACGCCTCTGGGGAGAGGGAGGGGAGGAAAGAGCTAGTAGACGTCATTCAGGAATGGGCTGGGGAAGTACGAGTCATATAGGGACACTGGCTTGCCGCCCTGCTCTCCTTTGTTGTTCTTACTATTAAAAAAGAAGCTCGCCTCATTCACTTGTTTCCTTCTGCAATGCAGGATTTAGTTGTGCTGTTTGTGTTGCTAGAGCGAGGTGGGAAACAGAGGTGGCAGCGACAGGGCTTGGTTGTAGGATTGGCTGAATCCCGAAGGCTTTCAAGCTTCTTTGTTTAACCATTTCCTACTAAGCCAGACTCCAGAGACAAGAGGAAAACAGGCCTTCCCAAATTCCCCTTCTTGGCAAGGAGTGGGTCCCTCTTTGAAAACAGTTTGAGGGGGCTAATATTCTGTCAGTCCACCCTTCATAATAACAAAGCATTTTGCAGTGGCGCTCAAGGACCAGCTCACATTAATTCTATGCGTGAACAGCTACAAGTCACCTCCCCTTCTGGGCTTTTTTCATGAGCAGAGATGTTTCCAATCAAATATTATTGACATGGACAGCAGCCTGACAGGTAGAGAAGTGTATACCAGGTAAAATCCTCTCTCCCCTCCCCCAGTGTCCATTTCATTCAGCTTCATCCCCAAAGCCCATGGGGATGCCTGCACGTAGGACATGAGAGAAACATCAGCTGGTATTGGGAAGAATGCTGCCTCCAAACATAAGGAAGAGCATAGCCATTGGGGCCAGTAGTCACAAACAGACACCCTCCCTGAATTTGCCCCATTCTCTTTTAAAGCCATCCCTCTTGGCGATCATCATTGCTTCCTGCTGCAAATTCCATAGTTTAACTATCTGCTGCATGAAGAATTTCCTTTTATCTTTCCTGAATCTTCCAACATTCAGCTTCATTGGATGTCCATGAGTTTGTGTGTTACGAGAGAGGGAGATAACTTCTCTCTCTCTCTCCACTTTCTCCCTACCATGCATAATTTTATAAGCCACTGCCATGTCTCCTCTTCCTTGTCTTTTCTCTGTAACAGGGGTCGGCAAGGTTTACCTTGCCTGGGCTGGTTCACTCCAGTGGAGATTCCTCCGTGGGCTGGGTCGTGTGTGCGCATGAGTGCGCGTGCCCGCAATTTCCGGCATCTGCATCTGCACAGACGCAATTTCCAGAATCTGCACATGCGCAGACGTGATTTCTGGCGCTGCAGAAGCAAGTCCCTGTGCTGCACTGTGCCGGTTTAGTGCAGCACTCGGGGACTCACCAAGCGGGTGGCTCGGTTCAGGGGCAGCTGGTGGGCCGGTTAAATGACACCTGTGGGCTGCTTGTGGCCCATGGGCCTTAGGTTGCCGACCCCTGCTCTATACTAAGAGTGCTTCTTTGGTCATAGAAGAGTTGCTCCATCCCCTTGATCATTTGGTTGGTAAAGGTAAAGGTAAAGGACCCCTGGACAGTTACCGTAAGTCCAGTCAAAGGCAAGTATGAGGTGCAGTGCTCATCTCTGCTCTCCACAGACAGCTTTCCAGATCATGTGGCCAGCAGGACTAGACTGCTTCTGGTGCAACGGAGCACCGAGACAGAAACCAGAGCGCACAGAAACACTGTTTACCTTCCCGCCACAGCAGTACCTATTTATCTGCTTGCACTGGCATGCTTTTGAACTGCTAGGTTGGCAGGAATTGGAACAGAGCAATGGGAGCTCACCCTGTCATGTGGATTTGAACTGCCAGCCTTCCGATCAGCCAGCCCAAGAGGCCCAGTGGTTTAGACCACAGCACCACCCATTCCCCAAGGTGGGAGGTCTTGCTCCATTTCCAAAAAGTGGCTAAGTTTTGTTGAAGGGCCCTCTGTACTGAAAGGTAGTTTTGGGATAGAGAGGCAGCGAATGAAAAGTTTGCAAAAGGGCTGCACTAGATGCACACCTATTTCAATTTTGGGGATGAAAGCAGAATCATGACAAATGTAAAAACCTACAACACAGAATGTATTTTCTATCAAATAAGCCATCCCAATTGTTATAAAACTACACAGAAATTTTCTCCCAGTTCAAACACCCTCCTCCTTCAATGTCCTCAGCCATTTTGGAATCATATTGTGAATAGGATCACATTGTGAGGCTCATGAATCGGATTTGGACTTTAAGTGCTGACATTGCTGAGGGCAAACAAAGCTTGTTTAAAGTGAATTCTGCTTCCAGGACTGTCCACATACATGATACTAGGAAATGGATGTGAATCAGGTAAATGAGAACAAAGGAAGTCTATCTAGAGTAACACTTCACAAATAGTAGGTGTGACCTTTCAACACTGACAAGATGTTTGTGAAAATCACCCCTCCCTTTTTATATTCATCCTACTTTACACATTATAGCTACCTGAAAGAGGTCAGCTAAATTGTGGGACAGCTCCCCATGTGGATCAGGCTGTTTTATCACCACATTTCATCAAAAAAATGTTTCAGGCAAAGTGGAAAGCAATTCAAAATACACAGCAATTGATCTGTTTCATGTGGATGGTTCAGCATGCAGGAATAGCTGCCACAAGGAGCGAACTAAAGCGAACATAATGTTACATAACGTTAATGTGTGAGCTAGCAAAGCAAGATCTGTTTTGTCAATATCCAGCAGAATTTCCCAAGCATTCCTCTCACCCTGGTCCAGAAAAAGGGGCCATATGTCTTCAGTTATATGTCTTCACGTTGCTTGCAGTTGCGCGCCATCATGGGACTTGAAGTCTAATCCTACTGTGTATGGTTATGCCATGCTTTCTAAATCGATGGACTGCTTTTATATCCCACCTTTGTCTCTCGGGAGCCCAAGGAGGCTCACATGGTTCTCCCCTCCTCATTTAATCTCCACAACAACCCTGTGAGGTAGATTTGGCTGAGAGGCAAGAGTGACTGGCTCAAGGCTTCATGACCAAGTGCAGATTTCAATCTGGTCTTCAGGGGCCTAGTCTGACACTCTAACTACTGCACTACACTGTCTCTAATGTATGAATTAGTGAATGAGCAAGATTGCGAAGTAATCTTTCAATGCCAGCTTAAGGTATATTTGATCATTCAGGCCTTTGGAAGATAACGGAGAGTGGAAAGCCATATGTGACTATCAGGGCTATTGCTGAAATACTGGAAATATTTTGCTGCCCATAAATATTCTCAGTGTCCCCCCCCACCCCAATTTTTAGGAATTGTATTTTTTATTGTGTGTTGTATTTTACAGAATTAGTCATGCAAGCTACCCTGGGGCAGCTTGGAAAATGAAATAAATAAATAATCAAGATCTAAAAAAAGATTCAAAAGCTATTTGTTCAAAAGAGAAGGAATGACAGCATGAACAGGACCCAGGTAGATTCTAGCTGAAATTCTGCTTTGATGCTTCCACTTTTTGGCGGCTCCCCGAAACATGCTTGGATTTGGATTTCATAGGGCTCCGGAAAAACAGGCAATCATTCATACTGAGAACTTGATCTTCAGGAGAGAAGGAAAATAGTTCACATTATGACTGGTGAGATGGAGCTAATTTTCTATTTCTCCATCTAACATTTAGCTCAATACTTCTTACTGTTGGGTTTTTTTTAAAAAAAATTTTAAATTTAGCACCATGTGTCCAGGCTGCCCTACCCACACGCCATAATTTGCCTCCCTAAAATGGTAGGATGGCAGACCCTGATGATCAACCCAAAACTTCAGCTGTTTTTGCCAACTTGGATTCAGCATTTGTTGTTTGCGCTGAGGACCTTGGCTCCAAACCACTGCAAATTTCTGCCTCAATAATATCTACCCCCCGGTGTGTCTCAGTTCCTGCAGGAACAAAGTTGTGATGGAACAGGGTCACTTACACACCTTGCAAGACCGGAATAGCTTGTTCAGCATTTTATACGCCAGGTGAAAGTTAAGAGGAGCCCTTCAGGCAAAAAGCAGAGGATCACCTAATGATTGATTACACTCAGACAGAGACATACGGGACACCTTGTACTTGTTAGATGTGTGTGTCTCTTTTGTCTTTTTCCTTTGGGCTGCTGTGCTCATAAATAGTAGTTTTCCCACTGCAAGTTGATAAAGAAATCTAAACTCGCATGCCGGAAGGGAAAAGAAGAGTGCTGGAGTGAGTGGAAAACTGGGGCTGGGGTGGGTTTGTGCTGCCTTTCTCTGCGATCACAGAAAAAGAATAATAGAGCATGGCACCAAGCGTGGAATTCAGTTCACTGAGTAGTCCAACTTCAATTTAAGAAGGGCCAAGTTTCTAGCCCATATACTGATGAAATAGAAGTGTAAGAGAAGAAGAACAAGTAGACCTGAAATGCCTGCTCTACCTCCTCAAAAGTAGAGGAGTGGGGCTCTGTGTTGCTCTCCAACTCCTTCTCAGGACTAGAATCAAAGAATTCTTATACATCTGCTTATCTTGCATAATCTACGCAGGTTACAGATACCATCTTTTTATAGCACAGAATTTAGACTGACAGGGCAGAGCACCCTCAGCCCCAGCATGGAATTCACAAAGCCTTCAATATGAGTAGCTTCTGATGTCCCTTAGATCCCACAGCAGCAGGAACTGGGACCTGTTTTGCCAGCCAAATGAGTGTGTGCTGCCCATGTGTTCATAAGCACAAGTTGTTCATCATACTTTAACCATAGTTTACATTTTCAGGAGTGTACTTAAAAATCATTTGTATAGCTAAAAAAATATGGCATCACGGTACTGGGGGAACTTGAAATACTTATTATAGTTAATAGATTTTTTAAGATACCATTTACAAAACAGTCTCAAGATGAGTTACAAGCTACTGTATATAAAAAATACTAAAATTTAAAAACACTAACACTAACAGACTATCTTTGACCCCCTGCAATACTGAAACCCCATCCTCCCAACCCTCAGCCTGACTCACTTCACAGAGTTGTTGCCAATATAAAAATTACAATGAATGCAAAAATTGGTGGCTGGTGGGGTTGCCTGAGCTTCCTTCCACAAGGCTGACTACAGGAACTATTGGAAGAGCAACCATGATGTTTAGAGATCACAGTCTGGTGGTGCTTTTAAATATAGAATCAAATTATAGCCTTGCAGTCCTGCAGCATTTTTATCCTACTGAAGCTCTAGAAAGAACCTATTACTGTATTTTTGGGTCTAGGGTAAGCCCCTGGCCCCATTCTGAGTTTTAGACAATTAGAGGTGGTAAGGAGGATGGGCAATGAGAAAGAGGCCAAGAGGTTTCTGTACCACTCCCAGTACGTTGGGGATAACATCTGAATAACATTTAGTCACCAACAGCATTGAGATGCAGCACCTGACGTGCAGCATCCGTTCATATTTGACAGAATCTGACAGCTGATTTGCAGCAGCATTGAATAAAATATCTGCTGATTTTCTCCATTTAATCAATTCATCACTCAGCCAGAAAATGCTCCATTGGAGCTGCAGGGAAGGGCATCAAAACCAGTCAGAAATCACATGCTGACATCAATGAAATGTGAATAGCAAATATGATGGGAAAATTTTCAGTTTATAAAACAGAACTCCAACTAGAACATGTGCCAGAGATTGAACTAGTTTTGAAATTTTGTATCAGCCACAGCTCTGTACCTCACCAACAGGGAAACAGCCTCCCCCCTGCAATGTCAGAGGGGCTGAGCCTGGCTCTCAACCCGAGAAGCAGTTACCACACAGCACTTAATGCCACAAGATTCCTGTGCATGTAGCCTTACTTAATAAACAAACAGGAAAGCAGCATCCCATCTACCTTTGCCATCTAGGACATGTGAACAGCATATCTTGTCATTGTCCCTGGAGAGCCATTTTTGCAAAAAAGGCAGAAAGGCAGAAATATCCTACTAGCATGGAAATACCATCGACCATGACAAAACATTCTTAACAACAGATAAGTTGGTTTCCTTTTTTACTTGCTGAAGGCCTGTGTTAGATTCAAAACATTTGCCCCCTCTGCTGGGACAATCAGCCTCTGAGTAGGTGCTGTGTGCCCTTCCAACATTTCCCAGAAACAAGAGCTTTCTCTTCAGGGAGGGGAGTATCAAACCCTCCCAAATTTCCTCTCCTTTTTTGCAAATTTAGTACAGTACTGATCTAAACCAAAACAAGCGTCACATGGTAGCACAGGAGATATCTGTCTAGATTTCCCCAGAATTTTCCTCTTGGTGTCTTATCCCCAAAGCCCTTAAGGCAATGATAAAAATAAATAATTAAGCTTGCGTGGAGGGGCGGACAGCTTCCCTGGAAGGAGTTCTCCAATTCCTCTTCAGTTTGCTTTCCATGGGAGCCCATGATTCCTTACAATTGACAAAAGTCCTGATAATTTCTGTAGGTCAAGGGAAAGGAGTGCATTCTAAATGCAAAAGAAGTGAAATTTGATTCCAGTCAGAGCAATGAAAGAAAGGCACCAAAGCCACCTGGAATCAAGGCCATTATACCGTTCAATGAGAAAGAGAAAGCCCACTCCACTGGGAAGTCTGCCAGTGGGAGCCCCAGCGATATTAACAAGAGCTGTGCAAGTAAACTGTGCTATGACTGTCATTGTAAGGCGTCCACAATTGCCCTTTCCAGTGGTTAATTCACACGTAAGAGGGTACCTTTGGATGTTCTGTCTCAAGCACCACAGAGTCTTGGTCTAGCTCTGAGGGGAAGAAAATGCTTTGTCTTTGCAGGGAGGGGAAAACTTCTCTGTTGATGGTTTTAATTTTCTTCCTCAATTCCCATTCATACACTACCACATCCTCCTCAAGCCCCCGTTGCTTTTTTAAATAGGGAATGGGATGACCCAGCTCTTTGGGTTTGGATATGGTGATGCTGATAAATGTCTGCTCACAGGAAAGGGTTCATCCTTTTACACATAGAAAAGCTGACATTCCTTAACCCAAGCAAGATATTTTGTCTTGAATAGCTGGGGGAAGATTGAGAGATGCTGTGTTTCCTTCCATCTAATGCATTCCTGCTGTGTGTTTGCAGACATGCTTTTCTGTACTGGGGCACATTCAGCAAACATAGTTGCAGCCTCGTGTGTGAACCAAGCAAAGGCAGTGTTGGATGATACCCAATGACTGAGGTTATTGGGAAAGGAACCAGACTCTATAGCAGTAAGAGGATCACTCTGCCCAGGTTTGCAACTCCGTGACAGGGAGCTGCAGCCCGTCCTGTGTAGCATACCTGTGAGGGAAGGGGAAGAAATTTGATTCAGTTTACATTTAAAAGCAATTTGTACTTCCCAAAACAAAACCTAGACAAAAACGCAGCCACCCTTCATAATTCGCATTTATCTGAATTTTGCAATGCTTTTCTCCAACCAAGAAAATTGTCCAGAAATGCATTGGCTTGGGTAAAAATGCACATATTAGTGAAAATAGCACACCCAAAAAAGTGTTAGGCCCTGCTTTGCAAAAATGTGTATACTGGGCAAAATAGCATACAAGCATGTGTCTATTAGGATCAATTCACAATAAAATGCTGATGAATTTTTGTGAGGACTCTAAATAAATAAAGTAAATTCTATAGCTAATGGGGAACTATAAGGAACTGAATTTAAGACTGGAAAATAATAATAATAATAATTTTTTATTTATACCCCACCCATCTGGCTGAGTTTCCCCAGCCACTCTGGGCGGCTTCCAATCAAGTGTTAAAAACAATACAGCATTAAATATTAAAAACTTCCCTAAACAGGGCTGCCTTCAGATGTCTTTTAAAGAGAAGATAGCTGCTTATTTCCTTCACATCTGAAGGGAGGGAGTTCCACAGGGCAGGTGCCACTACCGAGAAGTCCCTCAGTCTGGTTCCCTGTAACCTCACTTCTCGCAATGAGGGAACCACCAGAAGGCCCTCGGCGCTGGATCTCAGTGTCCAGGCTGAACAATGGGGGTGGAAATGAGAAATTGAGAGAAAACTAAATCCCTATGTGTACACTTGTAATATCTAAAGTGTATACCAAGTAATATGAGAAGAGGTCCTTGGCTTACCATCCATAATCTGATCTGGGAAGTTTAAAGTAGAATCTCTACACCATTTCACATGTTAGACAGCAAAACACCTAGCTGTTGCCATCAAGAGTATTCAACAGGGAGCGACAACCAATTTGAGAGCACCTGTACAATACAAATGCTTCCAACCTTCCACCCAGTTTGCCATATTGACACTTTACATTTTTAGGTGTGTGCTTATTTTTAAAGGTGTAGAATTAAATAATCTCAGGTGTACATCTGAAAAGGTAATGCATGAAGAAGTCTTTCTTATTGGAATCTAGACTCTCAGTTTGAAGGTCCAGGGTGGTCTCTTGTTTTATAGCTCTCGTTTTAATAAATTGGCCTTTGGACAAAAGAATAAGTGGTGGAGGATTTTCTGTCTCTGGCGTCTATTTATCCAACACCCACAATTCCCCCTTCCAAACTCTTCTAGATAATGAGTCAAATGGCATCATATCAGTTCCTTGGCAACATTAGCTAGAGATAATGACAAGGGAGCGCCAAGTGACTAATTAGCCCCGTTAACATATCAAGCTCACAATCGAGACAGTAGGCTTTGTTTTCCACTTTCCGACAGAAAATTAAGAGGGCAAAATGTATTAGACATTTAATTTTTTTTAAAAAAGAACAACATAAATTCACCAAAAGGAGAAGACAAACTGATTTAACAAGGTTAGCCTAACCCTCTGACTCAAGTGATCTGTTGCAGATAACTGCAGTTGTGACTCAGAAATGTCTCTCTAAGCACTTGGGCATGAACACAGGAGCAGAGGAAGCTGTCCTCTAATGAAATAAACACGTGTAGCTCAGTCTTTGCTCCAGTGGCTGGCAGAGGCCCTCCAGGGTTTCAGGCAGGGAGTCTCTCTCAGCCCTACTTTAAGATCTTTGGGAGTGAATCTGGGACCTTCTTCATACTAAACAGATGCTCTACCACTGGCAGTCAAGGAAGGCATCCTGAGAAAAGGACTCACATACCTTCTAAGTGGGTTTCGCAAAAGCCAAAGACAACTCACTCAGCACCAGAGATGCTGACTTGGCCCAAGACTGAGGGAGCCCAGCTCCATCATGCACATGACGTCACATCGCCAGGAGGAGGCTGAGTGCAGAGCCCAGCATGGCGCTGCTTCAATGGCCAGCAGCTCCTCTCTCACAGGAGGAGCAGCCACAACAAGGCGATCCCCTCCCAGCAGATATTAGGGGAGCGAAGACACCTTGGCCCCATAGAGCTGGCACCCCTACTCAGCAATGTATTTGCAGGAAGATTTCCTTTAGATCTAAAAATGGAAAATTCCCTTGCATGTTAAATCTACTCTATGTACATAATAAACACAAATCCGCAATAATTCAAGACCAGACTATACAAACCTCAAATCACAAGGTAAAATTGTTCCACCAGTCCTCAGATAAGGGAGGGAATTGCAAATCAAAAACTGCTAAAAATCCCACTTAGAACTCTTTCCCGTCCTCAGGAAATGGGGTAAGATGAGCCAGTCAGTTTTGATGTCTCAGTTTCTCATTTTTCCATTGTTAATTTCAGTTTACAACGTCAGGTTGCATTAAAGAACAAAACAAAACCTAACAAACATTTTGTATGCAATCATGCTTAATATACACATTTTGCAAGTAAATTTCTATAATGTATGTATGTTTTCACTAACATAACCAAGTCTACACACAGTTTCCCTAAATGTAGACAGTTTTGTATGCATTTCCTGACAGGAGAATGGTATCACAAAATTTGGAAGAGAGTGAATTTTCAGGAAGAGCTGTGTCTCGGTTCAAAATTTAGGTTGGACGGATTAAAATGTGAGTTCTTTTGTTTCTGAGGAACCATTTGATCCTGCATTGCCTGACCATCCACACTACCTGCAAACATGGGCTTAGTTCTGTGCTAGGTTCAGCCTTAACTGATCCTCTTTCCATCAAGGTTATACCTAAAAAGGGTGTGTGACCAGAGCCAAGCCATATCTTGTGCAGAAGCTTCCCTTCCCTTAGGTGGAACTACTGAGCTCCACAAGGGCTTGCAATGCTTCAGCACTCTGAAGATGCCCCATCCCAGCGTCTCCCGTGTCTTGGAAGAGACCTTTTCTTATAGTAAGAGAAGGGAGAACAAGTTACTTGGGCAATAAAACCTAATTTCTACTTGCTTCAACTGCTGCATAGATAGAAATAGGTCATACAATCTACAATGCAGGTTATACGTTGCTTTAAGCATGCTTTTTGTTGCTTAAGTGTCTGCAGCACTGTCCATTATCTTTTTCGATAAAAATATGCGACCTCAATCCAGATTGGAAACACAATGTGTGATGTCTAATCCTTTCCTCCCCACCTGTTTTCATGCCACAATTCACCCTGAGCTATTATTTGTCAAAAATGAAAGCAGCCAAGGCTGTTTGGTTCTTATATATAGGCAAAACACAGAAGCAAATAATTGATCAGAATGGGGCATTTATCAGCTGTAACCCAAATGCTTTCCTAGGCAAGGCAGCTTTGTCACATTGGTGCTACAGAGATGTGAAACCAGTGTTCAAGGAGAACATGCCAGTCTTTAGGAGCATCACACTAGATGCTGCTTTTTATTTATTTATTTAAAAGATGTAAAATGTTTAAGGTGGCTACTAAAAGGAAAGAAACAGAAATACAACAAAAACACCTAGCACATCATTAAAATGAAAGCAACCACAAAGGACCACTTTGAAAAATTTAAAACCAATGTTTAAACGAATCCACAAAAAAAGAAAGGCCTTCCTAGAGAGGAAGGTCTTAGCCCAGCGACAGAAGATGGCCTCATTGAGCAAGAAGGCACAGAGTTTGGGTGTGACCATGAAAAAGGCTTTTGCCTTGGTCCTTGGGCCCATCAGGACTTTGGGGCAAAGAGAAGGACCCAAATAGGTGATTCCATATTCAGCACATGAGCACTTCTGAAAAGTCATAGGAAAATATACTCAGGCATATGGTGTGGTTTTTTTACTGGGCGGACAAAACAAGTGCCAACTTGACATTCAAAACATTAATATAAAGCAACAATTCAGAATCGGTTTGAAGAGAAAGCATTGTTTCCACATTTTCAAGCACAAATGCATTTTTCTGTTGTCTGGCTTTGCACGTTTGGTGCAGGTCCAAACCTGGAAACCTGGAACGAGTCCATGTTGGCCACGTGGTTCCCAGTTCTGTTTTATAACTTCATGCAGGACTCAGTGTTTTTCCTCCTTTTCCACTCCAAATAATCCTGGATCAGCTGTTTGGATGTCAGCTCTTGCTGACCCAGCCAAAAAAGAAAGGAGAAACCACAATCCAAATTTAAGTGCAACCATTTCAGAAGCAATTCTTAAGGGATTTCTCCCTCTGTGTACACTTCTATTTTTGTAGCTTGCTGGTCACCCACTTGGCTTTTGCTGGAGATGAGGCCTCACGTGGTCAGTGAGATCATTATCTTACTGCATATTGTGAGACAACGGTCGGACAATGAGGGTTATTTAAGTGCAGACACAGAGGCCAGACAAACGTATCCTGTGTTTTGCAAAGCTTGCTATTTCAGTGGTTTATGTACAGAAGATACACTTGGGCTGAAAAAGAAAAATTGGTAACATTAACAGCGTCAACTAGCAACAAAGGAATAGTTTCTGAAGCTGTGCTCTTGACATTGAGTGCTGGAGGCAAATTAAACGAATAAATCCAAGCAGTGTCCACTGGGCAGTTCTCCTGCAAAGCCTCAATGAAAGAGAGGTGGACACCATTGCAAACAGAGGTGCCAGGCATTTGTTTTGCCTTCTTTGGGCTGCAGGGGAATGAAGTCCAGTCACCCAGCTACTATGTATTGTACGTGTGCAATGACCAAAGCCATGGTTCCCTCCCAGGCACTTGTACTGAGGGTTGAGAAAAGAGCAAGCTCCAGATTATCTCTTTAGCACTTCCTGTAGTGTTAGCAGCACTGAAGTTACCTCCCTGGGGTGCAAGCCTGTGTGTAGGGAGGTCCTGGGATGCCCAAACATCAGCCTTGCTGACGTGGTCCAGAGGAAAGCAGAGCAAGCTTGGCTGTAGGAGTTGCTGGGAGGCACTGTACAAAATGCCATCCAACCACCTTGGGGACTCCACTCCAGGTTTTACTCCTGAGCCTTTTCTTTGCCCAAAGACATTCCACAAGGCAGCAGAGGTTTGGATCATAGTTTTCTTTCTCCTAGTTGGGCTACCTTCCTAGGTTGACGAGCCCCATCTGCACCCACACATATTTTAGAAAATATGGCTTGAAACCATGAAGAGAGAGTGCAGGGACAGCAGAACTCCAGTTTATTCAGGGGAGAGCTACATATGTCAGCTTTTACATACTCTTCTCACAAGTAGCTAAACCCAGGAATAACTGACATCTCCCCAGGGACAGCATAATATGAGAAAACCCCTTATGTCATTGTTCTTCGGCCTGTGAGCATTCTTGTAGGCTGGGGTTTTTCAGAGCAAGATCTCCCTCAGATGGTCCTTCAAGAGGATCTTCAGTGCTGGTTCTTCTCGGATGTGCATGCTCCCCAAGGTCCACAGGCCGTGGGGTGTTGGGTTCATCCTGTCTGTGTCCAAGACAGGGTCAGAGCTAGGCATGATACCAAGAGGCCAATATTTCTGAATGGAAGACTCTACCTCCCCCTCCCCCACCCCCACATTCCTGCTCACACCAGAACTTCCAGAGGAGCCTAGAACATGGCAGATCAAATAAGTCCAAAAGACACAGACAAGCACAATGGGACCCCCAAACAATGTGAGAAATAGAATCATACCATAACATTGTAAGGGACCTCAAGGGTCATTCAGTCAGAGGCATACCGAGGGTCCCTTGTGCCCTTGTACAATGAGCTGTGTCAGTCCCTCCCATGAAAAATCACATTACTGCAGAGAAGAGTGGGAAGCTTCTCCCACATTTGATCTCGCTGAGACAGCAGCTTTGTGTTCCCACAGACATCATACATCATACTGTCCATAGTCTGATAGGTGATGTTTGCACCCCCTGCTTGAGCCTGCATCCCTAGAAGGGTCCAGTTTTGCCTCTGTATCTAGTCCGACCCCTTGCAATGCAGGACTATCAACTAAAGCATTCATGACAGATGGCCACCCAACCTCTGAAAATACAACATGTTGCAGCAATGATACATAGAAACATATCTACATATCTAGAAACAGTGGAATTTGCTGCCAAGGAGTGTGGTGGAGTCTCCTTCTTTGGAGGTCTTTAAGCAGAGGTCTTTAAGCAGAGGCCTTTAAGCAGGTCTTTAAGTAGGTCTTCGGAGGTCTTTAAGCAGAGGCTTGACAACCATATGTCAGGAGTGCTCTGATGGTGTTTCCTGCTTGGCAGGGGGTTGGACTCGATGGCCCTTGTGGTCTCTTCCAACTCTATGATTCTATGATTCTATGATTCTATGATCTAAAATGCAGCCAAAAAAGGTTGAAAATACAAAATTCCCATATGAATCTGAATCTAGAAAAAATTATTGTAGGGTTCTTATTGATGAGATGTCTGGAATGCATATTATTTCACTGCTTTGTCAAAACCTATTTAGAATCATAGAACGGTAGAGTTGGAGGGGACCCCAAGGGTCATCTAGTCCAGCCCCCTGCATTGCAGGAATCTCAACTAAAGTAACCATGGCAGATGATCATCCAACTTCTGCTTATAAAAAAGGAACTTCTCAGGGCTGGCAGCAGAACAGAACCCTCTGTTTTCTTGTGTGCGTCTGTCCCGAAAACATATTTGGTAGAAATAATCCTAAGTAACTTAGTCAGTAGGTTTCCCCCAGATGAGGCTTATTTTTTCCTGGAAGATTCAACACCAACCCCCCAAATTGGCAACCTGAGTCACTGAAGTCTGTGGCTCACCATCCAGGCTCTCTAGTTTGCACTTAGCAGGCATTTTTCAAAATGAAACCCAGAGAACAGCGCATCCATCTTTCAAAATTCACACTTCTATAACTTTTGCAGTGCAGTTTTCCAGCCAAGTGATGTTTACAAAAATGTGTATGTTGGTGAAAATAACATACCAAAATGTGTTATAGTAGGGGTGACTGCTTGCAAACCTGTATGCATTGTACAAAATTGCATGTAATCAGGAGAAATTCACACCCAGATGCTGATGCTGAATATGCAATCAATCAATCAATCAATCAATCAATCTACAATTTATGTGTATATGTGGAGAGCTGAACCTGAAAAAATGAGAAACTGAAATCGAGATTGACAGATTCGCCCATCCCAGCCTGCAGCCCGCTCTCAAGCGCTGAAAGGATCCATGTGCTCAGATCTTCTTCTAGTCTTGCCTTCAGGCCTCTCTTCTCAGGATTAAATGGAGAGCAGGCCTTTTAGAGTCTTAACCACACCCTTTGAACACTCTGCTTCTACTTTCTGATCTTTTTAAAAGGAAGAAAAGGTCCCTGATAGTGAGCAGCACATTTGCAATGTTCCCCCATTAGAACACCCCGCCCATTCAAAGCTAGCATGGAGGGAACAGAGCCATGTCAGCCTTATATCACTAAGGCGTTTTGTGTTACAGAAGGTCTGGTCACCTGATCTGTCTCACTGGCAGCCTGAATTTCTAAAAACATTTTAGCTGCTTGATTTTGTTAATTGCATCACATGGCCTTCTCAAGAAGTTTCATACCACAAAGTCTTAGACAGGAAACAGTAGGTCATTTTGTGTGTCAGATCTCCACCGCTTGCCTCATCTCTTGTGTACAGACATTTCAGTAAGTACTGTGTGATCTCTTGGGAAAAAGTTAACTTATCAGAGAGCAAGACTCTTGCTCAAACTTTTTTTAAAAAAATAAATGTAATTTCTTGCTTAAACTGGAGACTGTGGACTCTGTGTGGTCTGGCAAAGCCAAAACTGCACAGCCTATCCCTGGCATATAATAGCAGTTTCCAAACATTCTTCCTGTACAATTGCATCCACAACAGCAGTCCTCCACTTCCAGTGACTTCAACAAGGGCTATGCTACAGGCAGTTGGGTTCCAGGACTCAGAGGTCTGCCCATCAAAGTGGCCCAGGAGGGCATCTGGTCCAGCGTGGGAAGGGAGCAAGTTCCAGAGCAGCAGACAATGATCCAAGGGGCCAGAGACAGGCGGATAGTCAAAGCCAAGCCCTTCTCATGTTACTGAGCAGCCCACGGCTTCCTAACATCTCTGGTAATGTTAGAAAAGCTAGGCTACACAGGAAAAACTGGTGGTGTGTACTTCCTCAACAGGGTACTCAAACAACCAAAACAGATTTTGGCTGAAGAAATCAACCCTCAGCAGGAACATAAAATTCAGGGGCATGTTTAGCTGGCTGAGGCATATATATATATATATATATATATATATATATATATATATATCACTGAGTAAATGGACCCCGTTAATAGCTCTGGCCATTAACCATCTCCTTCCTGTTCCTTGTGAAGGGGCAGTTCATCATGGCAACTGTAGCACCACATAACTGTATTGGCAGCTTCTGGGATACAGAGGCTCCGTTCAGGAATAGCCTGTACTTCATGGCATATATCAAAACGCTGCAAGGTTTTCACAGTGCTTTTACAGAAAACAAAGTCTTCCTGCAGCATTTACATTTGATTTCCCACTCATTCCTCTATTTACTTAAGTCCTAATGATATGCTTGGGACTACACATTTCTGGCCATTTCCCAAGCTATGTTTTTTTCCACATAGCAGAGTTGCAAGGTCTAATAAGGGATGCAAAGGGGAGCATCAACTGAAGCACTGCTAGGGAAGGTATTTTCCATGTCCTGCCCTGTGCTGTGCAGGGAATCACAGCAGACCCCAGTTTTATAAACCACCAAATCTAGAGGGATCAGGGTTGATGTACAATGGAGCTTATGAGAAATCCCTCTGGAGACATCTTTAAATAGTGCTTTTCATGATTTCTGAAATATTTCCTCTATCTTCATAAAGGTTCAACTAACCTTTTGGTTCTGAGGCCTGAGGAAGCAAGCTAGGGGACTAGAAAGAATTGTGGGGAATTGATTATACAAACTCAATCAATGTTGTTGTTGTTTAGTCGTTTAGTCGTGTCCGACTCTTGGTGACCCCATGGACCAGAGCACGCCAGGCACTCCTGTCTTCCACTGCCTCCCGCAGTTTGGTCAAACTCATGTTAGTAGCAAGTGAATATCAGTCTAACCAATTATTCTGCAACTGTTCATGGTCCTCCATTACAATAGGGATGGAGAACCTGTCATCTTCCAGGTACTGTGAGCCTCCAACTCCCATCAGTCCCAGCCAGCATGGTCAATGATTAGGGATGATGGGAACTGTAGTTGAGCAACATTTGGAGGGTTAGAGATCTCCTTCCACTGTCTCAAAATTGCTTGGTTGCTTCAGGTTTTAATCAGTAAATTAATCAACTCAATCTTTAGTTGATTAAACAGGGCATATTTGATTAAGGGTACACGTCATTGTTTATTAGCATCTGTTTTACTTCTGGTTTGCTGCTGTCCCTAGAGAAATAAAAATGACTATTAAGGGTGTCATTTGCATCTTAAAATAAGTTGTAACTTATGCTTAGAGAAATGTTAACTCTCACTTTTATTGCAAGAAGGAACCTATATTGGTAACAGTCACACTTATAATTGATCAGTTAAAAGGCAGGTGATAAACCAAGCAGTAATTACTGAATCAAGCAGGGGCTCTACTGAAAATCCAAACTCTTTAAAATATGGCTTTCTGGAATGCAGCTCACATTCCTTACCAACAAAGACACTTGTAAATGCATGTGTACCCAGGGGTTACAAAGCCCAGCTTTTGATTTCAGGAAGAAGCTTTTATAAGGTGAAGGCGATGAGTTTATAATGCCACCCAACAGTAATTGCACTTTGTAAGCCTGAACACAAGTCTAGTGTTGAAATATCAGCCAATGAAACAATTTTTCAAATACTTCATTCATGGTAGTTGTATCCTGTATTCTAATTGCCTGGGGTTGCTGTAAACTGCTTAATTGTGCCCACCCTTCTCTCCTGTGTTTCTATATTCAGTGGAAAATCAAAGGGAGACCTCCTTTCCTCTCTACTTCCCACATTATAACAGTCATGAACTCATGGTATCAGATCACACCACCTGAGTGTTTGGGCAGAGTCGTATGCGAAATGTGGTCCCTGAGATATCCAATGCTCAGACCATTTAAAATTTAAAAAATCTGAACCAACACATTGAATTTGAACTGGAACCTACTGGGAGCCAGTGGTTTGGAATGGCTGGTACACTGCAGGGCCAAGGAACTTTTCTCTTGAAGAATTCCAGTAATTTCCCAACATCTATGGCAAGAGTGGGGAGCATTTTTTGGCCCAAGTGTTGCATTCCCTCATGGGGGAGACTTCCAGAGGGCCACGTGCAAGTGATGGGCAGAGTCAGAACCACCAGCTGGTAGGACAGCGAACGTGACTTTAACTTTTGTAGAGTAGGTTACATTCCAATAATGAAATCATGAAAATGTCAGGTTCATACACACTTCACTGTCCTTTATATTAACAGCTCCATGACTCATTGCAGCTAATTATGAAGCACTGGAGGAGAGTGTGGAGCTGGTCCAATGTAGTCTGGGGAGGCGGTGCGGCTTAGAGACCATCCTGAAGGCTGGGAGGGCAACATTTGGTCTCTAAGCCTGAGAGTCCCTCTTTCTGATCTGTAGGTCAGTTTTCTCAAAGAACAGCTGGCTATGCCTTGTCTGTATCATTCTGCACTGCAAACGAGAGCTTGCAATTGGATGTTTCTCCACACCAAAAATAAAACCCTGCACAGAAAACCAGTTGTCAGGAAGAAAGAATTGTAGCCTACCCTTTTCACTGATAAGGCACTTTTCTGTGTGCAATAATTATTTATTCCCTGCAAATGGAAAGTTCAGTCACATGCGCTATGCCTGCAATCTGCAAGGGAATAATCCAGAAACAGGTTTGCCAACTAACTCCTTTGCATTTGTGAGAACTGGCATCAACAGCTTAATTTCAAGTCTGAAAGGAATCTTCTTTGGTATGGAGCTGTTGAGCAGCAGCTCTGGTGTGCTTTTGTCTTCCCCTGCAGCGTTCTGGTTGGCTCCGAGTCATCCGTATTGTTTTACTAAACAATACGTAGCCTGTAGGCACTTCTGGCTTGGTGTACCCTGCTCATCCCTGCTCTGCTTTTTGGTACATTTACAACTGCTGATCTGGAGGCAAAGCAATCAGTGACAAGTCTGGGCAGTCTGAAAGCAATTAACAGATTGCTCAGACGATGGAGCCAGGCCAAAGTCTGAGGCTTTATAGGGCCCAAGGCTCCTGTGTGTCACCTGCTGAGGGATGGAATCATAGTATCATAGAATGGTAAAGTTGGAAGGGAACCCAAGGTTCATCTAGTCCACCCCCTCCAGGATGCATCAGCCCATTTCTGATCCATGACATTCTCACGTCTGCTTTGTTCCATTTTTGCATTAATTCATGAAGGTTTTTTAAATTAAAAAAATCAGAATTCAATGTTAACTGTCAACTATTTAGATATGTTTTTTAATTGTCAGGGCTGTGGGCAGAGGTATGCTAGCAATGTGCTCAGATTGACACCAGGCTGTTTTGAACAAAGCACCCTTGCCCCATCATTTCCCATCTCCAGAGTTCCCCCAGTTGAGCTTTAAGTGTGCATGGCATGGGCTGTGCACTCTGTTGTATGTGTGAGGTTCCCATACTGATAGTGGTGTGTTGTGACTGAGTCATGGGTTCAACCATAATCTGTCATAGTGGTATGGGCAGGCTAGTCTTCCATGCGGAGTAGCTGTTGATTCTTCCCCTCCTCAACACAGCGTGGCCAGGGAGGAGGTCCACTGTCCACCCATGACTCAGCCCTAGTTTTAGCCATAACCAGTTGTGTGTGTGTGTGTGTGTGTGTGTGTGTGTGTGTGTTTGGGCAAATATTTCATGGTGTGTCCGGCTTTCCACAAAATCTTTCCACAAAATCTTCAGTGAGTAGATCTTGTACAGGATCATGTTCTGAATTATTCACAGTTCTTCACAAGGACATGGAATGACAGGTTTTTGGAACAATCACCCCCCAAAAAACAACAACACTGAATTATTCAACAGAGGGACACCACTTGGTCAGGGCTAGAACCTTGGCTGCCAATATATTGGATTGTTTATGAGCCTTAATTTCTCCCAGAGATATATACCTTCCCTCCTTCTTTCTCAGAACCTTACTTAAACTGATCTTCTCCAAGCCTTAAAGCTTGCTATGTGCCTAGGTTCACCGCATTGATAGTCAGCAGAAAGACTAAAAATATAACCAGACTGGAAACTATATAACCGTCAGCTCTGGGCAGTCCCCCAAGTTTTGGAAATGATATTATTTTTTTTAGAGTTTTAGAGTGTTGGGGGGGGGGGGTCAGCTCTGCTGTGTCTTGGAATTTCCAAGGAAGCAACCCCACTTGGTTAACCCAGGTCAGATAGGTTGAGGTCATTTATCTGGCTCAGGAAAATTAAACTTCAGGAGTTACCCAATATGGAAACATCAAATTTTTTTTGGAAATAAACTGATGTCAAGATGACTTTACTTCATGAATATTTTGTAGTGAAGAGGGAGCCAGAAGAAAGAGAGAAAATGAATAATTCAGACAGGGGAGTGAGGTTTCATTTTTATATTTTTCACGGAAAATGCAGAAGGTCTCTTCTAAGCCATCTTTCCAACATCAAGGTGGCACAGATTTTTTTTTTAAAGCATTGCCAAGACTGTGGTTAAAACTGAGTTCAGGCCATGATGACACATAAGCTGGCATTTGTATGTGTTGGAGACTCTTTGAGCTTTTACAACTCTAAAGAGTTGAGGGGGGAAATAAATGAAATCTGTAAAGGGAATAAATAACTTGCAGGGCTTAAAATAGCTCTGTTTCCGGCTTGTTGGAAGAGGGGTGAGCTCTGGTTTTCTTTTGCGCATTCTGGTAAGAAAGCACCTTTGATACTGTTCAAAGCAGGGGCAGCATAATGCATCAGCTGTCTCATGGATGGTTCCAAGTTTGGCTTGTTGGTCAGTTTGAAGTGCTTATATAAAACAGTGGAAGTGGAAATACTTTCTCAGACCACGCCAAGAGTTATTTAAGGATGCTTTGTTTAAAAATACTTCCTGGTTTACTCAGACCACAGTTCCACCCCAATAAACCCTATGTGATTGGTCTATCTTTGAAAATCTCCTCCCTTTTGCCTTCTGTAGAAATAATATTCTAGCTGTTCTTTTAGTGGTCAACAGAATAAACCAAGACTGATTGATAAATGCTTTTGGCAGTGCCTTGATTCACGTGGTGTGGGAGCTTTGCCCACTTGTGAGGTGTGCAATGGTTTGACTTTCCTCCTCAAATAAGGAGAGACTCTACTAACAAGCCAATTGTGCAGATGGATCCACAAGTGGAGTGCCTGATACCAAAGATGTGGGGCTTATAACTGACTCCCCTGGAAATGTTTTCATTTACACCACCTCGTTTGCAAGGATAACTTCAAGTTGTTGCAACTGCTGCCTGCTTCTCTCACATCACACTCCCAACTCTGACCAGTTACTGGCTTGCACTGGCGGAGCCTTGCAGGCATAAGGTTTACACCAGTGACAGTATCCTGTCTGTGCAAGGATCTGTTTGTTTATTTATTTGCAAAAATGAATATGCCATCCACTTTATGAAAAACATTTCTGTGAATGACATAAGATCAGCAATAAAACTACGCCCATAAAATAAACACAAAATATATCACAAATCAGGTGGACGTTACTTGGGAAAGGATCATCTCCTGCCCCTGGGAGAGCCTAGGCGAACGGCTGTGTTTTAAGCAGGTTTTAAGACGGCTTTGGTGCTTGCCTGATGTCTTCCCAAAGAGCATCCAAAAAGGCAGCCCCCGCTATATTACAGGCCCTGGTCCTAGTGAACATATGACAAACCTCAGGAGCATTTGCCTGAGGACCTAAAGAACTGGAAATAACTAGCGAAGGTATTCTCAAAGGTAGCTGGTCCCAAGTTGCTTAGGCCTTTATTTGCCAATAGATAACAAGCTACCACAGGAGAAGATCTCTGTCCACCCATCCGAATCCCCAGCCGTTTCTCTCCTCTCTTCACAGTAGGATTGATACTGATTGTAGAGAGGATCAAGCATTTGTGAAACATCTGCAGTGACTGGCAGTCAACAGGGAATACCGCCATGCAGTGCTTGCCAATGTTAACGTTCCTGTTCCAGCTTCAAAATATCTTTCTTTCTTTCTGAGAAGGCATAACAATAACAAAACAAAACAACAATAGCAATTTATTATTTGTACCCTGCCCATCAAACATTAAAAACTTCCTGATACAAGGCTGCCTTCAGATGTCTTATAAAAGATCTATAGTAATTTATCTCCTTGTCATCTGATGGGAGTGTGTTCCACAGGGCGGGTGTCACTACCGAGAAGGCTCTGTGCAATTTCCTTTGCAACAAACTGCTTGGAAGAGTCCTCAGGAACCCAATATAAATACAACATGTTGGTATGAGTTTGTTCTTTATGCTTTGTTTGTTCTTCTGGGCAGAAGTGAAACTGCCACGTGATGTATGCAAGATTGTAATTTTAACACATTTTTAAAAATAGTTTTTATTATGCAGGTTTTGTTTTAATTAGATACATGCCTTCAAGGATATGCACTGAACTGAAATGCATTTGGTGATGAGTAATTAGCAAACAGATAAGACCTAAATTGTAAGTAGGCCCATCTTGCTGCTCTGCTTCCAGTATTTGTTGTCTCTATGACAAGAAACTTAAGTTACACCATATAATATAAAACAATACAATACATAAAAGTCTAAAATCAGCTGGCACCTCAAGGCAGCCTCAAGGCAACTCATGTGAATGTTAGGTAGAAAACACTATTTATTATTTGTTTTATTTTATAAAATTTCTTTATCTCTTGACTGTAAGAACCCGCCGCCGCCCCCCGCCGTGGACTACTACAACTCCCTCCAGCTACAGTAATCTACTAGGAATGCCCAGCTTTTTATATGTGTTAACTCATCAGGTAGGGGGTCATGTAAGCGAGCCGCCCCCCAAGTGTGAGTGATGGATGAGCGGTGACTCCTGTTTCTATTATAATTTGTATGTGCGACAGGGACTAGAAAGCAGCATCCCTTTCCCTCAATTATCTGGGGAATATGCGAAAGCATAAATCCTCTCCAGATTGGTTCAATGTGTTCGGCCAGATCCTCAGCTTTTGCCAAATCTGATATGGTGCTGCCACAGAAGTGTGGCTTGCAATATCTTTACTGTGCTGCCTTGGCACACAGACACCATTCTCTGGTATCTCTGCTGTAATCCAAAGCTCTTTAGTAACACAATAGGGGGGAAGAAGCGCAGTTTGAGCAGGGAGGAAATGCTTATTAGGTTAGCTAAAGGTCTGCCATTCCTCTCTTTGGTTGCCTTCAAAATATTGGATAGAAAGCAATTTTTTACTCCCCCTTTCAGAGTACTGGACAACAAGCATGGCTTTGCAGTTGACAGGGGCAGCTATTTTGCTGCAAAAGCGGGGGGGGGGGGGGAGAGCCTGTAGAATTCAGGTTGCTGCAAGAAGACTTTGCCACATTGCTACTTCCCTAATAAATATGAGGCAACGAGTTCCTATAATCTCCATTTCTCTTGATTGCTTTATTTCCTGCCAGGAACAGAAGAGCACTTTGTACAATCTCACCTGCTCAAAAAACCGCATCCCCACCCCTCAACCCCAGTTGAGAGTTTCCATACAGGGTGTTGGTGCGGAGCAAAGTCTCATCATAATTAATACCCTACGGCATGTTTGTTTCTGTGGTGTTTGTGCAAAGCTTTAGGTTTAGGCTAACTTTATAGGCTGTTTTCCACAAGACACCAAAGGATCTTGTAGCAATTCTTAAGTGCATGATAATATCGCACCTGTGCACACCAAGCATGTTCCGTTCCTGTTTCTAGGCTCATTTACATCTGCCAATTAGAGTGCCTAGTAGATACCATGGTTTGAGCGCCCGCTAGACTAGGTGGGGCAGCTAGGGGGTCCCAGGGACATGGCCAATGAGAGCTCACTTGGCATGGCCAAGTTGTCTCAGTTCTTTCCCCATCTTCCTCCTTAGTAAAAAAGTAATGGGCACTTTAACCTTTCACTTTCCTCAGTACTTAGCACAGAAGTGCCTTACCTTGCTTGAAAAGGGGGTCACTACTGTACAATTTCTAATGTGGGTTCATGCTGCAATAACTGTACATTATTCAAGAGTAAGCCCTACTGAATTCCAATATGAGGATTGCTCCCTCATACAGTATATATGTGCAGGATTGAAGCCTGAACTGGTTGGTCTTAAAGGTGTCACACACGACTGTTAAAAACGGACCCTATAAATTTTGGACCTATGGGAAAATATAGGTCTCCTCCACTTCATTCATTTCTACATCTTTTGTCCAGAATGTGGCATAAAGTGCAGGGGGGTTAAGGAGACAAGGACTTGGGAGGCCAAGGTCAAAATCAGCCGCAAAGCTCAGCTTGTGACTTTGTGCCATTCATGGTCTCTCAGCCTAACCTACTGCATGTTGATGGAGTGGCTATAAATGTAGCACTGATAATATAGGAAAATATATAGCAAATATATTAAAAATCAACAATATGAATATGAATTGAAAGCTGTTGCAATGCAATGATAATGGTTAAGGGAATTCCCCACCCCAGATTACCATTCCAGCTTCAGAAATTACATCTTCCTTGGCAGCACCATTTACTAATCATGGTTGCTATGAAAACACAATCAACCTGATACTTGCTTGGTGCAGTTGATAACATGATCGGAAGCCCCCGCCACCTTTTGTTCTGGCTGAGAAAATCCAGTGCTCCCTTTACAGTCTCTCACACTTGAGCTTGAGCTAATGGAAAAGTTCAGGTGTATCCATTGCCCGGCTACATGTGCACTGCAGACAGGGGGAAAGCAAAATGCAGGACGTTTTGCATTCTGCACAGGGTCAGAGAAGAAATCAGTTCCCCTCACCCTGGCAGAAGGGAGCAGTGATTTGACAGAATGGAACAGCCTCACATAACCACCTGAAATGAACTTTGGAAGGCTTTCGCTGAAGGCAATTTGACTTGAACCTTTCAAAGGGGCAAGGAGGGCGCATTCTTATGTTTGCATTTTACCAACAAATCAGAGGTAGCTCTGTCAGTCAATTAGAAAAGCCAAAATCATAGCAATACAGAGCCATATTCCCCAAATGCCCTGCATTCTTTTGTTTACTATCCGGAAGCCTTCTGGGAACCTTAAATATTTGCTGACAACTTTGTGATTCTGCAGTTGGCTTTAATTAAACCTACTGCACTTCATCTGCTGTTGGATCACTGCCCTATCTTGTCTGGTAAAGGCGAATGTGACGTGCCCATAGATCTTCATCACATGCTGGAACAGAGTATGATTTTGCAGAAGGTCTAGTAATGGTCCCTCAGCCACAAGGGGAAAGGGATGAGCCATTGCTGCTGCTGCTGTTGCTGTGAGTGCTGGAAGGAAGAGCGCTCCCTGCTGCAAGGCCCATTTCCACCTGGCCCAGGGGGCAGGGCCCAGACTCACCTGGAACAGCTAAAAGAGGCTCCTGGGAGGCTGAAGGGACATTGCTGCAACAACTCTTGGGTTGGGGAAACTGGCTAAAATGTTTTAAACAGTTCTAATTTTGGTTCCTCTGTTTTGTTTTTGTTGGGTTGGTGTTGGTTAAATGTTTAGTTGGGGTTGGCGGTTATTTTAATTTGGGTATAACTGTAAACTGTTATTGTTATTATTGTTAGTGTTTTCTTTATTGGTTTGCTTGTATAAGGTATTTTGTTTTTTAATGTTTGATGTTTTCTTGTGCTTTTATTTATGTTGTAAGCCGCCCAGAGTGGCTGGGGAAACGCAGCCAGATGGGTGGGGTATAAATTTAAAAATAATTATGATTGGTCCTAGCAGTAATGGCAAGCACTTCTGCTCCCTTGGAAGAAACAGGTGATTCAAACAAGAAGGTCAAGTAAGAGTAGCCAAGCTGGTCTTACTAATATTTATTTTTATCTATTCATCTTATGGGTAGGAGAAAACACTGGCAACTTGATGGATATTCTTCTTTCCTACATTAAAGCTTGTTGTACATTCAGCTTCTGTGGTCTGATTTGATTAAAACTGTAGAGTGCTAGTTGAATTAGGGAAAACATGCCTGATATAATTCAAGGGGCAAGTGGGACTGACAACCTCATCACGCCTCCTCATTCATCTCCCTGTCAAAACCCAACGCATGAACCGCATGAATTACTTCTTCTCCTGTGCAAAAAGCAGCTCAATAGGAAAAGGCAATCTGGCTAAGAAAGAAGAGAGCTAAACAATGGATGTTGAGGGAAAGCCGCTGCTGGATGTGATATCATGAGTTGCCGGGAAGCAATGAGACAGGAACGATACCCAGTGAAATTTAAAAAAAGCAGGGTTATGGTCTTCATGGAACCCATAATGTATTTCTTTTTTTAAAAAATCCCCTCATTCACCTGTGAGACTCTGATATGGGATGTAAAATAAGGTTGTTGTTTTTTAAACTTTATTACTAAACTTTGGAATTAATATCTTGGGATCTAATGGTAAAGTTTGGATCGTGAAGCTGTACTGCTTTAGCATGTGGTTCCTGATGAGCTACCTTCTCCCCTATGTACCTGCCCACTAAGATCACCTACAGAGACCTTCTCTTGCTGTACCCAGACTTGAGAACTTCCGACCCAGGGAAGTAGCTGGAATTTTGCCACTGTGCTGAGGCCCGCTTGTTAAGCAAGCTCAGAGGCTGAATTCCTTACTTATTACAATTATATGCAGCCTTTCTGGTTTTAAAGTGCTTTTAAAGTGCTTAACAGCTTTTTAAAAGTGCTGTTTGTTTTTTATTTTTGTAAGCTGCCTTGAAATTCAGGAGAAATGGCAGGGTCTAAAATAAATTTTTTTTGGTAGAAAGTGCTGAATAAGTGTAACAACAACAACAACAACAACAACAACAACAGCTGAGTTTTTTGTATGGGTTCCCTAAAGCAATATGACTACATAGCACCATAATGTGCATACAGTTGGATGAGCAAAATGGAGAAGTGTTGCTTCCTGTTGAGTAGAAACTTCTACTGAGAGCACGCAGGTGGGGGCTGTTGGGTATCTGGGTGCACTTCTGCTGGCTCAGAGGGGTTTGCACTGGTTAAGACAAAGCAAGAGACCTCCAGCTTCCCAGGCTATCCCTATACTTTTATCACTACGCTGACCTCCCTCCCCCTCTTTAATGTTTATTTAGACTGGTAAGTGTAAGGTTCCGTCCTCTTTACAACTTCCTGCTCCTCCTCTCACACTTTTTCTGGACCTTGAGGTGAGAGTTAGTCTTGGATCTTTATTTTGAGAGCAAAGGTGGGAAGCATGGATTCTTTGCTCCTCCAACTAGATAGTTAGCTAGGACTATAGAATGCTTCCCTATTGAGAATGTAGATCAGGGGTAGGTAACCTAAGGCCCGGGGGCCGGATGCGGCCCAATCATCTTCTCAATCTGGCCTGCGGAAAGTCCAGGAATCAGCGTGTTTTTACATGAGTAGAATGTGTCCTTTTATTTAAAATGCATCTCTGAGTTATTTCTGGGGCATAGGAATTCGTTCATTCCCCCCCCCAAAAAAATATAGTCCGGCCCCCCACAAGGTCTGGGGCCTACGGCTGAAAAAGGTTGCTGAGCCCTGATGTAGTTCCATTAGTAAACACAACCTTTCTTACTTACCTGACAGTAAGAGCTGTTCGACAGTGGAATTTGCTGCCAAGGAGTGTGGTGGAGTCTCCTTCTTTGGAGGTCTTTAAGCAGAGGCTTGACAACCATATGTCAGGAGTGCTCTGATGGTGTTTCCTGCTTGGCAGGGGGTTGGACTCGATGGCCCTTGTGGTCTCTTCCAACTCTATGATTCTATGATACTTTATACCAAGACTCAGTCTGAATACTTTCCAGCCAAAGGTGTTTTCCAAGCAAGGATTCATTTAACTAAACTAACTTCTGCTGCTGCTGCTGCATATAAAGTCTGCATTCTAAGCAGGCTGGGCAGCGTTCCTATGCAGAAAACCCACAAACTCTCTCAGCGATCCAGCGCCTCACCTTTGAATTCCTCTTTCCATTTCAGTTTGTCAGGAACCCACTTTCATTATTTTAGCCCCCAGTTTATTGTTATTTTATTCATTTCTGGATTGAAGAGTTTTCCATTTTCTTGAGCATTTAATAAAATCTGATTGTCTTGCTGCTGCTGCTGCTGCTACAATGCTGGGAAATGTGAATAGGACTAGGCTGCAGCTTTTATTTTGTTATTATTTTAAAATGCTGTAAGCTGCCTGCCTCCAGAGTCTTTCAGGGTAGAAACATTTGAATAAAATAATAATAAAACAAATACGGCTATTTCATAGTCTCTCTCTCTCTCTCAACAGGCGAGAGGCCTTTTGAATGCCGTTGGGAAGATTGCAACAAAAAGTTTGCCCGTTCCGATGAGCTGGCGCGACATTTCCGCACTCACACTGGGGAGAAAAAGTTTGGCTGCCCTCTCTGTGAGAAGCGCTTCATGCGCAGTGACCACTTGACGAAGCACGCCCGCCGCCACAGCAATTTCCACCCCAGCATGCTCAAGAGGAGGAGCGGCAGCAGCTCCCGGACAGGATCGGTCAGTGACTATAGCCGTTCAGACGCATCTAGTCCCACCATCAGTCCTTCAAGCTCCCCGTAGACCTGCCTGCACTGGACGCCAGCACTTTGCTCTTATCATTTTATAGATATCATTTTTGGAGTTTTATTTGCCTTGCACATTTTGCTTATTCCCCCCCCCGTCTTTTTTTGTTTTTGTTTTTATACATCGTTTCTCCAGCAGATTATCTATGGCACAATGGAACTAACACTGATAAGCCTCTTCTCCATCTTCTGCCAGCAATTTTTCTTCCTGGTCAAGATTTTCAGTTATTTTGTCAGCCAGCCTTCACTCTCCAGAGCCTTAAGAAGACGCTCCTGTTAATTGTTTTTAAATATATCTATATGTGTGTATATTTTTTAAAAAATACCTTTGCTCAGGTGTCAAAGCAAATTTTATAAAAAAGAGGTTACAAAAGAGGAATGCCTAATTGAACTGGATTGACTTTCCACCACTCCACAACCTCCTCTCAACTTTCTCAGGGATAAGTATTTATGTAACACAGTAAGTACAATGAAGACACACTCTCTGCAGCCTCAGCGGGCAAACAGATCTGCACTCAAAATGAGTGGGGCCGAGTTCTTCCACTCACTGAGGAGGAAACCAGCGCTGGACTTCGCACTCAAATGGTTTGGTTTCACATTTGCTATAGATAGGTTTGGGGAATCAGGACCATCTATGGCATGCCCCTGGATGACTTCCTTAAATCCCTCTCCCTGCCCCCACCCCGTCAATGTCATTTCATACCGAGGTGATTTTACCACATCAACTTCCTGCTGCAGAAACCTTCTCTATAAAGTTCGATACAGTCCTACCTTCCGCGTGGGGGCGGGTTGAGGGGATTTTTTTTTAAACTAACGAACTCGATGCCTTTATCATTCCCACCCACCCCCAAATATAGGGAAATGTATTTACACTGGGGAACAATGCATTTAAGTTCAAAATGGCAAGTTTGTGGTTTTTAGGCATTAGGGATTTGTTTTCCAGGGTTCTCCTGTAAAATGCCCTATGGAATAAGTGAGGCTTCTGCAGAAGAACTTCTCAGAGGCTTGTGAGCCCCACGCTGTCCCTGAGCTGGTCTGTGTTGCTTGCGCATCTGTCACGGGGCCACCAAACATAGGTGCCTAGACTGTATCAACTTGAACTATTTTATCTTATGCAGGGGGTGGGGTGGGGGTGGGGAGCAATATTGGGAAACTGTTTATATAAAGTTTCATCAAAGCTTTATCCAGGTACTTGTTATAAAGACCCTTGGTTTTACATTGCTTCAAAGCAGAGGCTTCCATATAACACTGCACTGTAGCTATTTGGTCAGTAAGTGACAATTGAAACCAAGTAGTAGTAATCAGAAAATGGTCTCTTATTAGGAAAGGGTAAAAAGAGAGAGCAGAACTTGCATCTAGAAAGTGTTACAAACATGGTGTTTTAGCTCAGCAGCACTCCGTATTTCTCCTACACTCGCATCCCACGGGTGTATGGTTTGACTGGGCATAGATAAGAGAACCCCTCTCCCAGCCAGCTAGTCCAGGGTTCCCAGATGGACGTCCCACTCTCTTGGCTACCACAGTGGAGATCAATCTGCCACGTTACTTGCCTAACATCTGTAAGGAAAGCTCTCTCAGTCACAGCTGGAGGGGCCAACTGGCCACATCCTGAAGTGCCTGGGTGGGAGATTTGTGGCCATTTCAAAAATAGGCACCTCACCCCAGCAAGAGAGATTTGTGTGCATAAAGAGCCTTCCACCTGCATTACTGGAGTGGAGGCACATCTTGCTAAAACTGGCTTGGTGCACAGATCTATCTTGGGTCACCCATTGTTAAACACTTACAGTTGGGTCAGGTTCTAGGTTTATAAATGCAAACTTTTTTAAACCAACAATTGGTCTATGCATTGCAAAGTGCATAGACCTCATTACTGCCAGCTTGGTTGGTTCTGAAGCTGTATATTAAACATTCAGGGTTTTTTCTTTGTAATTATCTATTATTATTATTATTATTATTATTATTATTATTATTATTTTACTGTAAATGATGAATGCAGTTGATTGTAGCACACCAAAACAAACTCCACAACCCCAAACTGCTGTTTACAATAAGTATATCTACATTCCAAATGTGTCCTGCTTTCCAGTAATTCCATTTTGCCACCTCTTTAACAACCCCCCCTCAAAACAACAACATCGTTTCTAGGTACATACAAAGATTGCTCTAAGTACAAGGTTCTCTCTCTAATGAACAGTCACCTACAAAAAAACACAGGTCAAAATTTAGATATTTCTATATTTTATGGCTCTAGTTTCAAAGTTCACATTTTCATTAACATTTCCAACTTCATTCAGCTATAAACTGTGCTAGACAAGGCTTTTGGTGTGGATTTATAACTACAGGCAGGAACAATGGATCAATTTGGCTACTATTATGTGCAAAATCTTGCTTCTTTGGTATAATGAGTTGCCTTACCTCTATAGCTTTGCAGGGACTGGCCAAGTAAAGCTACTCAAATATAGGAAATTCACATTTCAGATAATTTTCATCGCTAAGACTGGGGGTAGGTATTGGGAAATATCCAGCACAACTAAGAAGGAACATAAATTACCTATAAAAAGGCACACACACTAGGAATATAGCTAGCCAGCAACAGAGATTGGTTTGTTAATAGGAGAAAGTATTTATTTTCATAGTTGGTAGGATATGAAGGACTGCAAAATCTAATCATATCACCTGTTAATAAAAACCACTTAAAAGAGCATTACTATTTCTCACAGAGAACAACCTCTCTCTTTTCTTTGACGAGCAGTGTGAAATTGCAATAATAAAAGGTACTATGCACTAGTAAATTTCCTTTGAATCATGGCCAACGCACAAGTAAGCTGAGCTGATGCTTAGAGTGGCAATATTTTGAAGGGTGCAGAATGAAGCTGCATGTGATCCATGGAAGATGCAATGCTTGATCCAAGAGTTATACCAAAGAGTTAATGCTGGTGCAGGTGATCTGGTCATGGAGTATTGCCAGCCTCGCATCAGTTATTTGAGGAGTGCTTACGCTAGGGGACACAATGGGGTCCATCTAATCCAGTATAACTCTTCTTGGTCTTTTCCATCTCTGATAACCTGAGATGCCAGAGACTGAATCTGGCATCCTTTGCACATGCAAAGTGTGTGTTCCTCCATTGAGCTTTGCAGCCACTTCATGAGAATTGCTTAGATAAGTAGAAAAATACAGGCAACTCTCTTAAACCTAATCTCAATGTAGCCTACAAGTACATATGGGTCAGGACTGTCACCTAGATATGTAAACAAAGGGAAAGTGTTGCATATATATTTGGGATAATTTCTAATTTGGGATTTGGAGGGTTCATGCAGATTGCTTCTGACATGCTTCTGAGATACTTAAAAAACCATTTCCGTTCTTTACAGTTTCATAAATAATAGTAAACATACACCAAAACACTCAGGGTTTCTCTGGTGACAGAGAGGACACAAAACCTCATTTCAGCCCTGCTGGCAACTGCTTGGCTATTCGTGTAACTTTCATCTAGTTTGCTCATACCAGCAAGACATGAAGGCAGATGCAGTTTCCTCCTTCATGTATGTGTGTGTTTTCTTTTTATCTCAAAACATTGGATTATATGTAGTTATCTGTAAAGTTATCAAGACCTCCTGAGCAACACCCCCCCCAAGCATTAATATTCCCAGGCTTTTCAGCTCCATGCTCAATAGCACATTTTGCAAAAAGAAAAGAAAACTTGCTGTGTATTGGTGTCATGTGCAGATGCATAACTGACCCAAGAGATGAATGAATCCATTTCTGCACTCGGGAGAGTGTATTGTCAGGTTACCCTTTTGTCCTTGTGTAAGGAGAAACAGGTATATTCTGTTCATTTTACATCAGCAACCTCATGGCAGTAGGTGTTGGCACAGTCATAGAGTGATCGGCAGTAGTATTGCAATGCAGCCCAATAAGCAATATAGAGATGCTTCCACAGAGCATCTAAGTGCATATGTGCTTGGAACAGATACATTCAGATAAATATTAGGAAGTGGTAGAGACTCTTTGGCGGGATGGGGAACCATCTTCCATCTTAGATATTACTGAACTACAACTCCCATCAGCCCCAGCAGGCAGGGCTGATGGTCAGGGTGATGGGAGTTTTGGCTCAGCGACATCTAGAGGTCCAAAGGTTCCCTAAGGACTGTGCTAAAAAATGAACAGTCCTTCTAATAATAAATCCCACCCACCCCCACTCAAAATCCCTGGTGGATCTGCTGCTTCATCTGAATCTGAATCTAACCAATGGCAACAATTGAGGCTGGTTTATGCTGGGCTTTATGATAATCTGGTTCCAGCTGCCTGACTAGACAAAGGTGACTGGAAAATACATAGGCTAGAGCTTGTCTACACAAACAGTAGGTCAGGTGGTCAAGGGTTGAGAGGGTCATAGGCGAAATGTCCCTTGGTGGGCCCCCTTCTGACAGACACTCCAAGCTGTGCCAGGTAGACAGGTCTAGCCAGCCTTTCCCTTTCCCCACAAAAGGCATTCCATAGCACTGAATGTTAGGGCTATTAAGATTTGTTAAGATTACTGGAGTCTTACTGGATCATGCCAATACCTAGTATCTAGTCCATTGTTCTGTTCTCACAGGGACCACTCTGATACCTAAAGGAAGCCTATAAAGAGGACAGGAACACTGGGAGAACTGAAGAAACAGTCACCCACCCCAAACCTGCAATCTGAAGGGGCTGAAATGGTAGAGTTTTAAAGAAGCCAGCTGCTGGCTGCTACCATGAAGAACAGAACATGGACATGGATACTGATGCCCAGTTGTATCAGCAGGGCCATTTGTTTGATGGTTCTGATAGTTTTATGAAGTATAGTGAGTTCCTGGATCACCAGCCTCAATTTGTATTGAGCCATGATGGGCCATGACCCTCATATGCATTCCAGAGCATTCAGGGGAATAATTGCCCTGCAAAAACACACTGCAAAGAACCGAGTGCATTTCTCAAAACAAAAGCACATTGTACCTCCTCTTCCATCACAACCCACTTGTTTTGCATAGTGAGTTGCCATACCCCTATAGGCTTGCAGAGACTGGCCAAGAAGCTGGGCTAATGACTAGAGAAACTCTAAGCAAGAGGGCTGTATGCTCCGGGAAGGCCCAATTCCCCCCATCTAGTTTTTGCTTCGTCATTTGTTATTTGGTAGCTGTTTACAATAGTGTCCTAGGAATAGTGTATGGTAATGTATATTTATAAGTGAACACACACCTGTGCCTGATGGCTTTCTGTATTTTACACACATTTTAGTGTAAAACATCATGCCTTCATTTCGCAATATCTTTGAGCCCTGCAGCCTTCTGCTGGTTCTTAAAAGCCTTCTGCACTTGGGGTGCTTTGTAATATAGGCCAAGAGCAGTGCTTTGGGGGGGGGACGCAGGGGTACGCAGACCCCTCAACATTTTGTGAATCTTTGTACTTTTGTCCATTTACTGTATTTATTTCCCCCGATTTGAACTATAAAATTGTGATTTTCTAGAGTCAAAATGAGAGTACCCCTAAACACCTTTTTTAGGAAATAAAGCACTGGCTAAGTGTCATGTTTAGGATCAGTTTCCACAACATGGAACACAAAGGTTCTCACCCACTTTAGGCAATTAGCATTCACACCTCGCTTAATCCAAGCAATAATGATCAGAGCTCTAGAAGTTAAGTCGTGTGTTAAGCAAGCTTCTTGAAAAAAAGCTTTATGTAGCCAAGCAGAAGGAAAACAAACTTCGTGTATGACTATAAAGCTTGTCTTCTCATAATCTTTTATTTTGCAAATTTAAACAGGCAATTGCATATGCACACTGATTTCCTGATGTGCTATTACTCCCAAGTAGAACTTCAACAATGCAAAAATAAAAATGGGAGTAATCCACTGGGAATTTCTTTGCAGGTTACCATCAGAGGCCAGGATGCACTATCACCCGAACCAAGTCTTAAGCGCTTCCTGCAAAGCAAGGGCAGTAAAGGTAGAATCATAGAATCATAGAATCATAGAGTTGGAAGAGACCACAAGGGCCATCGAGTCCAACCCCCTGCCAAGCAGGAAACACCATCAGAGCACTCCTGACATATGGTTGTCAAGCCTCTGCTGAAAGACCTCCAAAGAAGGAGACTCCACCACACTCCTTGGCAGCAAATTCCACTGTCGAACAGCTCTTACTGTCAGGAAGTTCTTCCTAATGTTTAGGTGGAATCTTCTTTCTTGTAGTTTGGATCCATTGCTCCGTGTCCGCTTCTCTGGAGCAGCAGAAAACAACCTTTCTCCCTCCTCTATGTGACATCCTTTTATATATTGGAACATGGCTATCATATCACCCCTTAACCTCGTCTTCTCCAGGCTAAACATGCCCAGCTCCCTTAGCCGTTCCTCATAAGGCATCGTTTCCAGGCCTTTGACCATTTTGGTTGCCCTCCTCTGGACACGTTCCAGTTTGTCAGTGTCCTTCTTGAACTGTGGTGCCCAGAACTGGACACAGTACTGCAGGTGAGGTCTGACCAGAGCAGAATACAGTGGCACTATTACTTCCCTTGATCTAGATGCTATACTCCTATTGATGCAGCCCAGAATTACATTGGCTTTTTTAGCTGCCGCGTCACACTCTTGGCTCATGTCAAGTTTGTGGTCAACCAAGACTCCTAGATCCTTTTCACATGTACTGCTCTCAAGCCAGGTGTCACCCATCTTGTATTTGTGCCTCTCATTTTTTTTGCCCAAGTGCAACACTTTACATTTCTCCCTGTTAAAATTCATCTTGTTTATTTTGGCCCAGTTCTCTAATCTGTCAAGGTCGTTTTGAAGTGTGATCCTGTCCTCTGGGGTGTTAGCCACCCTCCCAGTTTGGTGTCATCTGCAAATTTGATCAGGATGCCCTTGAGTCCATCATCCAAGTCGTTGATAAAGATGTTGAATAAGACCGGGCCCAAGACTGAACCCTGTGGCACCCCACTAGTCACTCTTCTCCAGGATGAAGAGGAACCATTGATGAGCACCCTTTGGGTTCGGTCAGTCAGCCAGTTACAAATCCACTGAGTGGTAGCATAGTCAAGACCGCATTTTACCAGCTTCTTTACAAGAATATCATGGGGCACCTTGTCAAATGCCTTGCTGAAATCAAGGTAGGCTACATCCACTGCGTTCCCTTCATCTACCAGGCTTGTAATTCTGTCAAAAACAAGATCAGGTTAGTCTGACATGACTTATTTTTCAGAAATCCATGCTGACTATTGGTGATCACAGCATTCCTTTCTAGGTGCTCACAGACTGTTTGCTTAATGATCTGCTCCAGAATCTTCCCTGGTATTGATGTCAGACTGACTGGGCGGTAATTATTTGGGTCCTCTCTTTTCCCCTTTTTGAAAATAGGGACAACATTTGCCCTCCTCCAGTCTGCCGGGACTTCGCCTGTTCTCCAGGAATTCTCAAAGAATGTGGTTCTGAGATCACATCTGCCAGTTCTTTTAATACTCTTGGATGCAGTTCATCTGGCCCTGGAGACTTGAATACATCTAGACTAGCGAAGTATTCTTGTACTATCTCCTTAGTTATTCTGGGCTGTGTTTCCTCTGCTGAATCATTTGCTCCAAATTCTTCAGGTCGGGCATTGTTTTCTTTATCGGAGAAGACTGAGGCAAAGAAGGCATTGAGGAGTTCAGCCCTTTCTGTGTCCCCTGTTTGCATTTCACCATCTTCTCCCTGAGTGACCCCACTGTTTCTTTGTTCTTCCTTTTGCTACGAACATACCCATAAAAGCCTTTTTTGTTGCTTTTAACCTCTCTAGCAAGCCTGAGTTCATTCTGTGCTTTAGCTTTTCTGACTTTGTGTCTACATGTGCTGGCTATTTGTTTGAATTCCTCTTTGGTGGTTCCCCCCCTTTTCCATTTTTTGTACACATCCCTTTTTAATCTTAACTCAGTTAAAAGTTCTTTAGATAGCCACCCTGGCTTCTTTAGGCACCTTCCATGTTTCCGTCTCATTGGTATTGCCTGACGTTGTGCTTTTACTATCTCCCTCTTAACAAACTCCCAGCCATCATGAACTCCCTTTCCTTTTAGTATTACTGTCCATGGGATCTCACCCAACACTTCCCTAAGTTTTATGAAGTCGGCTTTCTTAAAGTCAAGAAATTGAGTCCTAGTATGCTTGGCTGCTCCTTTCCGCTGTATAGTAAACTTCAGAAGAGCATGATCACTCGCGCCTAATGATCCTTCCACTTCTACCCCACTAACCAGGTCATCAACATTGGTTAGGACCAGATCTAAAATGGCTGTTCCTCTTGTTGCTTCTCCCACTTTCTGGACAATGAAGTTGTCTGCAAGGCCAGTGAGGAATCAGTGAGGTAATTTGCAATCATGGCTGGATTTTCCACCATGCTGTTGGTAGGAGTTACCTGCCACATTATCAAGTCAAGAAGAAAGGTTCAGTTTAGCCTTGACCTGAAATATTGTTTGTCTATGTGCAGGGTTGTTTTTGTTTATTTGTTTGACACATGGGGGGTGTTTAAACATGCAACTCCCACTCCCACTTATGGCCTGAAAGTGGTGCAGTCCAGGAAATAAGTTTAACCCTTGGTTTGGGTGATGGTATCAACTAGTCGCTATTGAACTAAAACAAAGGATCTGCTCTCTTGTGTAGCTCTCCGTGACTTGACTTTGGATATATAGGAGGTCTTGCTGGGGCCCTGCACCCCTTCTGTTTACCAGGCTGCCTGGCAGAGAGCTGTCTGATAGCCTCCTATATTTTGGGGATAGGAATGTGTTTATTTCTCCCCAGTGAATCCAAATACAGTATATATAGCAATGTTTCTTCCACAACTGAGTGGGAATATCTTCATAACAACTCTGGGTATTTATTTCATTACAATGAATGATGTGCCTGCCCAAAATTTCTGGGCACATATTGCTTTGAATATTGGAGAAGTGGAACATTCATCTGTGGCTTGGGGCTGGTCTACATATTACTCTAAACACACCAAAGTGCCTATAGGTTATAACCTTTGTCCCTTTATGATCACAACATATCGCACCATCAAGAAGCATATTCTCTTCCACATCATCTGGGGTGCATGACTAACAGCACAGCACCTTTTGGGGCTGATGTATTCGGACCAACACCAGCACCTTCCACAGCGTGGAGAAGCCCCATGTGAAGAGGAAGTAGGATGTGGTTACTGGTACACCATGCCATTCAGCTAGGGATGAACACTTGGCTCTCATTCCTAGGCTTGCCTTTCCCATTGCCTCCTCAGTATTTGTAACCATCCCTTCCCCTGCCCTTTGGTACCACCCAGCACTGTCAAAATGAGATTGTAAGTGGGGATCTGCGAAAATGCTGCCGTGTATCCTCAACTCCTGACAGGGGTGTTTCTGTCCAGGGCTCTTCCCGGCCTGGAACAGGAGCCTTGCTATGAGATGATGTTTCAGGAGAAACATCACCCTCCAGAAACCTCCCCTTACTAAAAGGCTCAAGCAGCAACACAGAGGTGCTTCTGCATGGTAAATGCAATGTGTAGACCACCTCCAGGTCCTATGTCTGTTGAAGCCACAACTGTGTATACTGCTTTTAGTTACTTGTACATATATACTGAAATCTTTGTGTGATTACAGGAATGAAAGTATGTGAATATCACATGTTTACATACATATCTTCACTTTGAGGGTGAAAAATGGCAGCACTTGCCATCACTTCACTCTCATCCGTTTTCCGAGCAGCACCTCAAAGCTTTCATGGGTCATGTTTTTTGGATTTTTTTAAATGAATCACTACATCAAAGTATTGCAGTTGTACAGTCATATGTTGATCTCTACTTGCTCTACTGTAATATTTTTTAAAATGTTATTTTGTACTGCATAGATTTATATATTGTGACAATGTTCCTAATCAACAAACAGAAAAGACAGACAATTAACAAATGTCAAATGTCAACTTGTATGCATGATTAGTGATGTTTGCATTTCTAAATAAAATTAATAATTAAGACAGAGGCATTTATCCATTTCTTCCAACATAACATAATGATAATAATAATAATTTATTATTTGTACCCCGCCCATCTGGCTGGGTTTTCCCAGCCACTCTGGGCGGCTTCCATAGAAACCAAAAATACAGTAAAATATCACAGATTAAAAACTTCCCTTAATATGTCTTCTAAATGTCAGGTAGTTATTTATCGCTCTGACATCTGATGGGAGGGCGTTCCACAGGGCGGGCGCCACTACCGAGAAGGCCCTCTGCCTGGTTCCCTGTAGCTTTGCTTCTCGCAATGAGGGAACCGCCAGAAGGCCCTCGGTGCTGGACCTCAGCGTCCGGGCAGAACGATGGGGGTGGAGACGCTCCTTCAGGTATACTGGGCCGAGGCCGTTTAGGGCTTTAAAGGTCAACACCAGCACTTTGAAATGTGCTCGGAAACGTACTGGGAGCCAATGTAGGTCTTTCAAGACCGGTGTTATGTGGTCTCGGCAGCCGCCCCAGTCACCAGTCTAGCTGCCGCATTCTGGATTAGTTGTAGTTTCCGAGTCACCTTCAAAGGTAGCCCCACGTAGAGCGCATTGCAGTAGTCCAAGCGGGAGATAACTAGAGCATGCACCACTCTGGCGAGACAGTCCGCGGGCAGGTAGGGTCTCAGCCTGCGTACCAGGTGGAGTTGGTAGACAGCTGCCCTGGATACAGAATTGACCTGCGCCTCCATGGACAGCTGTGAGTCCAAAATGACTCCCAGGCTGCGCACCTGGTCCTTCAGGGGCACAGTTACCCTATTCAGGACCAGGGAGTCCTCCACACCAGCCCGCCCCCGTCCCCCAAAAACAATACTTCTGTCTTGTCAGGATTCAACTTCAATCCATTAGCCGCCATCCATCCTCCAACCGCCTCCAGGCACTCACACAGGACCTTCACCGCCTTCACTGGTTCTGATTTGAAAGAGAGGTAGAGCTGGGTATCATCTGCATATTGATGGACACCCAGTCCAAACCCCCTGATGATCTCTCCCAGCGGCTTCATATAGATGTTAAAAAGCATGGGGGAGAGGATGGAACCCTGAGGCACCCCACAAGTGAGGGCCCAGGGGTCTGAACACTCATCCCCCACTACCACTTTCTGAACACGGCCCAGGAGGAAGGAGCGAAACCACTGTATAACAGCACCCCCAGCTCCCAGCCCCTCTAGACGGTCCAGAAGGATGTTATGGTCGATTGTATCAAAGGCCGCTGAGAGATCCAGCAGAACCAGGAAACAACTCTCACCTTTGTCCCTAGCTCACTGGAGATCATCAACCAGTGCGACCAAGGCAGTTTCAGTCCCATGGTGAGGCCTGAATCCTGACTGGAAGGGATCCAAATGGTCCGCATCCTCCAGGCGTGCCTGGAGTTGTTCAGCAACCACGCGCTCAATCACCTTGCCCAAGATTTGAGACTGGGCGATAGTTGGCCATACTGGCCGGGTCTAAAGATGTTTTTTTAAGAAGCGGTTTAATGACCGCCTCTTTCAGCGGATCTGGGAATGTTTCCTCACAGAGGGAAGCATTCACCACCCTGCAGAGCCCATCGCCCAGCCCTTCCCAGCTTGCTTTTATTAGCCAGGATGGGCAAGGATCAAGGAGACAGGTGGTTGGTTTCACGCGTCCAAGCAGCCTGTCCACATCCTCGGGGGTAACGGATTGAAATTGATTCCATGCAACTTGACCAGACAGAGCTCTAGCACTCTCCGGCCATGCTCCCACGGTGGTGTCTAGCTCCTTCCGAATATGAGTGATTTTATCTGCAAAAACTTTGCAAAATAGTTGCAGGAGATCTTGGGGTCTTTACAAGGCCCCGGTGGTAAAGGTGGTTCCGTTAAATTGCGAACCACCTGAAAGAGTCTCCTGCTACTATTTTCTGCAGATGCAATAGAGGCGGTGAAGAAAGTCTTTGCCGTCGCTATCGCCACTTGGTAGGCTCGATGTTGAGCTCTAACCTGTGTCCAGTCAGATTCGGAGTGAGTTTTCTGCCACCGACGCTCTAGCCGTCTCAGCGATTGTTTCATCACCCTCAGCTCCGAAGAAAACCACGGGGCTGTCCGGGCTCCATGCAATCGGAGAGGGCGCTTCGGAGCCAGACAGTCGATAGCCCTGGTTAACTCCGCATTCCAGCGGGCCACCAGAGAATCAGCTGAAAGGCCATCAACATGGGCTAAAGCATCCCCTACCACTCTCTGGAAACCATTTGGATCCATTAAGTGGCGGGGGCGGACCATCCAAATTGGTCCCACCTCCCTGTAGAGGGGAAGGGTCGCGGAGAAGTCCAGTTGCACCAGGAAGTGATCTGACCATGGCACTTCTTTTGTTTCACTTTTACTTAGTGTCAGATCACCCACGTCACTCGAGGTGAACACCAGGTCTAAGGCATGTCCGTGACTATGAGTTGGGCCAAACTTATTCAGGGACAGCCCCATGGAGGCCATGCTTTCCACGAAGTCCCGAGCGGCCCCTTGTAAGGTCGTGTCGGCATGGATGTTAAAATCCCCTAGGACAACCAAACTAGCTGTCTCCAGGAGAAAATCCGCCACGACCTGAAGCAGCTCAGGCAGGGAATCCTTGGTGCAGCAGGGAGGTCGGTACACCAAAAGGAATCCTGTACTGCCCCTATTGCCCAACTTCCAGAACATGCACTCAGAGAACTGGATCTTCCCAGTAGGACGCCTGGTGCAAGCTAGTGACTTCCTAAAAATCACTGCAACCCCACCTCCCCGCCCACATGACCTGGGTTGCTGTGCGTAAGAGAAACCTGGTGGGCAAGCAGCGGCAAGGACAGGCCCATCTGCTTCCTCCAACCAGGTCTCTGTCACACATGCCAGGTCAAATCCTCCATCCACAATCAAGTTGTGGATGGCAGTGGTTTTATTCATCATTGACCTGGCATTGCACAGCAACACTTTCAGGTCATGTGGGTTTCCCCTGTTGATTTCAGTATCCATCCGGTCAAGGCCAGACCCGGACGCAGGGATAGTCTTCAAACAACGACTAAACCTGCCTCCTCGGTAATGACATGGTCTGGTCTTAGCGTAACTCCGCCTCCTGCCCATGATCACCGAGATCGGATGTCCCAGTGCTTCCCCCCCTGTGGAACTTGTCCCAGCCATCGTGTTGGCTGGGGAGCCACTCCCAGGCAGCCCAGATCCCACCCCTTAAAAACAAAACACAAACTATACAGAACCAATAAAACAACAACAACAAAAAGGAACAGAACAATTATACTAAAATTAATCCCCAACCAACTATCCACCCCACCCACCCACCCCCAACAAAGGAAAAAAGGAAGAAAAGGAATAAAAATTTAAATTGCCACCAACTGTTTGAGGACATTTTAAAGCACATTAACCACCTGGAACAGGGAAGCAATGGCAGAACACTTCCCACACTTCCCCAAAAGTTTGTTCCAAATAAGGGCCTGGGCCACGCACCGTGGGCCAGTTGGAAAAGGCCCTGGAAGGGAGCAGGCCCTGCAGTCCTCACCCAGCCGATAGAGAATGTATCTGTACCATAAACTGTTCCCTCTTCCAAAAACCCCCAGGCAACTTAAACTTGGGAGACGGGGGGGGAGGGCAGGTTAGGGATCCACCAGAAACTCTCCTGCACACAGCCCATTGAGAGCAATGGGGACTCAACTCACATCCCTTCCCTTCAATGGGACCTGCATAGGAGAACTTCCAGATGGATTATGCTGAAACACTAAATCTGGCATTCTTTTCACTGAACATATTAGCATATTTGAACCTTTAGACTACAAACATTGAAATGTACCTACCAGGAAGTAAATTCCCTTGCGCTCAGTGGGACCTACTTCCGAGTAAAATGCTTAGAGTTGTGTTGCTGGTTGAGATAAAAGCAACATGAAAAGCAAAGCCATCTTTTTGAAAGTTGCTTCTCAGGAAATGTATTGGCACAGGCTTTCTCAACTGTCACTGCCCAGATACAATAATGTTAGAGGTTTCCACACCCAAACGCCCACACATAGGACTGCATATACGGTTGGCAGGTAGTTTAATGGGAGTGTCTGCCTTTCCCTTGACTCAACGCTTTATCATTAACTCTGCAGAGACTTGGCCTGCATCCATCTAGGCAGGAGATAATGAATGTGGGGTTGACAATGTAGTGTTCCATAAGGTTAACTGTGCCTCTGGTTTGCAAGGAAACAACCCTGGAGTGTGTCCACCTACAGATCACTGGAGACTAATTAAAGCTACAATAACACAACCTCACAGGAAAGAATAATGGCGCAGAGGAACAGAGACTGAAGCACAATGGAAAAATCAATGTACACTATGCAAAAGGGTTGGCATTGTTTCCCAGCTTTGCACAAAAGGAATCCACCCACTGAATTTTGTTCTTGAACAGCACTCAAGTGTACTAAACACCACCTGACACTATCTATGCTACAAACATTTACCGTACAGTGGCACCTTGGGTTGCAGACGCTTCAGGTTACAGACGCTTCAGATTACAGACTCTGCTAACCCAGAAATAGTACCTCGGGTTAAGAACTTTGCTTCAGGATGAGAACAGAAATCGGGCTCTGGCGGCACAGCGGCAGCAGGAGGCCCCATTAGCTAAAGTGGTGCTTCAGGTTAAGAAAAGTTTCAGGTTAAGAACAGACCTCCGGAACGAATTAAGTACTTAACCCGGGGTACCACTGTACATCAGATTTATACCCATTTAACCACTCTGGTTTCCTTTGAGAATCATGGGAATTCAGTGGTTAAGTGAGATTCTTTGTTAGAGCATACTATATCTTCACCCCTTGTGGAACCATAGTTCCCAGGATGCCCTGGGGAAAGGATATAAATGCTAATCCCATTTAGTCTTGTAGTGTAGCAGATACTCACAAAAAAATAAAAGTGCACCCCCCCTGCCTTCAGTAGTAATTGGCAGTACCCCAGCAACTCACTCTCTTACTTTTTATTGGATTTACATTTGTATTTGTTTAAACCTATTTATAACATCATATC